CCTGTTTTCAATTTTGGCTATATAAGCAATCTGTCAAAAGTTATAAGCCTGCAAAGTTTTGTATGCGGTTTTCAAAAAAAGACTTTATAAGCTAATTTCCTTTAAGAAGACTTTAAGCTTTAAGCAGACTTTAAGAAGGAAAAAGAAGGAAAAAAAGATTTCCTAGTTTCAAATTTGAATATAATAAATCGGTGATAGTAATAGCAGAACACCAACTGCAAAAAAAAAAACTTCTAAACAACTTTTAAACAACTTTCAAAGGCGACCGTGATTCCGCTTTTGCGTTAACACTTGCTATTCAGTTGTGTTTTGCTTTGGTTAGCTTTGCTTAGCGTTTGCTTTGCTTTGCTTTGCTTTGCTTTGCTTTGCTTTGCTTTGCTTTGCTTTGGTTAGCTTTGCTTTGCTTTGCTTTGCTTTTGCTTTGCTTTGGTTTGGTTTGCTTTGCTTTGGTTTGCTTTGCTTTGGTTAGCTTTGCTTTGCTTTGGTTAGCTTTGCTTTGCTTTGCTTTGGTTAGCTTTGGTTAGCTTTGCTTTGCTTTGCTTTGCTCAAAATCTATGTTATCAAAGCTATGGTTGATGACCTAAATCTCTCTTTTTCTCTCTTTTTCTCCTCAATGGAAAATTCAAATCCCGCCCCGCCCTTTCTTTTTTCTACTTTTTCCCATAAATTAACCCCTCCACGAAACCTATGTTATCGAAGCTATGGTTGATGACCTAAATCTCTCTTTTCCACTCTTTTCCCCCTCACTTTCCATTCGATCCTGCTCATACTTTCTCCTCAAAACAAAATCCCGCCCCTTCCCCCGCCCTCGTTTTTTCTTTTTCTTTTCCCATAACTAACCACTCCACGAAAAGTGGGCGTCATTTCTTGCCTATAAATTGACGCAATTTTTCAAAATTTACCCGATCTTTTCAGGAGAATTTTTTGATCTCTCAACCTATTTAACCTTTTAGGGGAAAAGTCTTTTCCTTGAACAATTAAGCTTTTGCCTCTTTTCCCATTGAAACCTTTCGAATTGGGGCTTTAATTCCCTAAAAACCAATAAAAATCCAACAATTCCCACGAGCAACAATTCACAAAACTTGAAACGCACTTTTTAAAAGCCTTTTTAAAAGTACAGCTCTTATTTGACTCTATTTCTGATGCTTTTCCTATTTATTTTACTATTTTATAGCTTTTTGTGCATAGCTTTTTTTGAGGAATCTCTTTATTTTTCATTTTTCTTCTTCTTTCTATTTTCTTCTTCTTTCTATTCCGAGAAATTTGCCTTTGCGAACAATTACGCTAATTTTCACGTAACAACTTTTTTTCTTCCACATTTGAACAGAATTTGAAATACAAGTTCGCCAACAAAATTGGTCCCAGATCGCTACCCCCCGTTATCGCTACCCCCCGCTATCGCTACCCCCCGTTATCGCTACCCCCCGTTAACCGTAAAGATTCTTTTAGGCATAGCTCTACAATTTTTTTTTTCTTCCACATTTGAACAGAATTTAAAATAAGCATTAAAATTTTAAACAACTTTTCAACCATAATCCAAACTCATGTTTCAAAGTTTTCGTAATAAAATTTTAAATAATTCGATTAATCGATAATATTTTCATTAGTTTTTCAATAAATTTTCGATAAATAAACGATAAACGAGACTTTTTAGACAACAAAAGTCTCTTTTATCGCCAGTTTTTGTTAAATGTACTGTAAGGCTGGGCTTTGAAGCGAAATTTTGTATCTATACGTTGTATCTTTTGTGAAATTTTGTATCTCTACCACTCTACAGTATCGTTGAGTTGCTCGGATGCTTGCAAAACTTTGTTTCACTATTTTTTGACTAATCTTTATGCCTAGGAAACTGTAGAGGCAAAAAAATTCTCACTTAGTCATCACTTGAATGAGCAATCACTCCAGAAATCTTTCAAAAACGTACTCTGACACATTGTCTTTCCAATGTTTCCAAAAATCAATTGAAAGCCAAGTAATGGCTTTGAATTGTTCTTGAAAAAGAATTTCAATCTTACTTTTGACTTAATTTTGTTAAAAACCTTGGCTTTGGCTTGGCTGGCTGGCTTGGCTGGCTTTGGGTTGGCTGGCTAGGCTTGGCTGGCTTGGCTGGCTTTGGCTTGGCTGGCTGGCTTGGCTGGCTAGGCTTGGCTGGCTGGCCTGGCTGGCTGGCTTGGCTAGCTAGGCTTGGCTAGCTAGGCTTGGCTGGCTAGGCTTGGCTGGCTAGGCTTGGCTGGCTAGGCTTGGCTGTAGGCTTGGCTGGCTTTGGCTTGGCTGGCTTTGGCTTGGCTCTGGAAAATCAGCTCTAGAAATACCCGGCCAACACAGCTAGTTTCAAAGCTTTGCAAGCGATCACAAAGCACACCCAATCGTAAAAGCTTTTCTTTTGGTTTCTGATCGAAATACTCAACTTGATTTCCCTTGACTTGAATATAAAATCGCAATTTTCAATTATTTTTCCGGGAAAACCATCAAATCAAAAAAAGCTTTTTGTCATTGTTTTCTGTTTTTGCCTTTCATCGTTTTTGGTCCCAGCCGACGAATCTCCCATTTTTGGTCCACAAAATTACCCCAATCCCTTTACAATTTTCTCATTTCAAAACGTTAGCTGAAAAAGCGGCACTGAAATTTGTTTTTCGGGACACCAAAAATTAGCGTCCCAAACACGTCACAGGCCATTATTTTCCCTTTTTCCCTTTTTCCTTTCTTCAATCCGTTTCCCGCTTCAAAACAAAAAACATGTCCATTATTTAAACGAGTACCCAACGAGAAGTTCATTATTCGAGAGAAATCTTGAACTTTATTAGAATTTGAACTTTTAGAATATAGAATTACTTTAGTATTGTAGTGTATTTGTAGAAAACGGAATAGATTTTGAGATTTTGAGATCTAGTACATCTTTATCTATGTTTATCTTTAAGAACTTTAAGTAGCGATGTTTTTCTTTAAGAACATTTGTCTTTAGCTTAACTGTAGACTTTTTGAGATAAAAAAAAGTTAAAGTTAAAGTTAAAGTTAAACTAAAAGTTAAAGTCTAAAGTTAAACTTTACAGGATACTTTAAACTATAAACTATTCAATTCAGACAATCTTTTAGCTGAATGCTTTTGATTTTGCGCAACTCGCCATAACTTTCTTCTAAGCGGGCCAATCTTTATGATTGTAGACCTCAACAAGTGCAACAAAGTAACACCAAAATCATAAAGATTGGCGCACTTAGAAGACTTGAGCCACTTAGAAGCCACTTGAACTCGGAGGGGATTGATATCGGTTTACGGTTATACGGGGATGGCTACCTTGCCCCAAATTTTTTGCGCAACTCGTCATAACGTTCTTCTAAGTGCGCCAATCTTTATGATTTTGTTTTCATTTTGTTGCACTTGTTGAGATTTATAAAATGACACCAAAATCATAAAGATTGGTCCACTTAGAAGAAATTTCTGGCAAGTTGCGCGGATGACCCTTGTTGCGCAAAAAGTTTGGCGCAAAGTAGCCACCTGCTTTATTTGAAATTTTCAAGCAGAAGTCAAAAGAAATTCTTGAAATCTTCAAATTTTAGTCATGCGAAACAAAATTTAAAAAAAATTCAATTGAAAAGTGAAAAAATTGCTTGAAAAAAAATTGATGTTTCAAGTTGAAAAAAGTGAAAAAATTGATCTCCACTTTAGCCAGTTCAGTCATTTTTTTTTTTTTTTTGGTAATTTCGGATTAAAGAGATTACAGTTGATTTACTTTTATAATTCACCGTTTACATGAATGAATATGCTTTAAATCTGATTTGATTATGGTTTAAAGCTGATTTAAACTCTTTACAATTGTTTTTCTCTTAAAATGATCAGCTAAAAGCTAAATGTTTCAAGTTTTTTTGCCTTAAAACGCGTCGCAATGATCCCAGTCGATCGGAAAAAGCACAGAAATATAAATCATTCATTTTCCAAGGAAATAAAATCAATTTATAATTAAATCATAAACATTTTGGAATAAAAAAAAAAGCTAGTTTCAAAGTTTTTCATATAAATCTCTTCATTTTGATTTTTATTTAACAACTATTTTTATTTTTTTATTTTATTTTTATTTTAAAGCTCAAATTGTCATCAGTTGATTTTGATTTCTGCAAACGCTCACCTTCAATTCGAAACACAAGTGTAAATCCTTGCCTGTCCCGTAAATACTCTAATATAGCCCACATTTTCTATGGCAGCGGCAAGAAAACACATGAAAATATGCATAATATGCATATTCGAAAATCCATGGATAATACGGCGGACTCCACATTGACGTTTTGCCCAGAGTGTAATCTATGTGTTGGGGAAAGTAAAGCCGATTATTTAAAGTTCAATCGTACATCCCCAAAACCCATTTGCTGCCCATATCGTACTCAAGGCAAAAAGCACATTGTTCTCTAGTGAATATCGTTGCGGCCGTCGATCTGACGTCAAGATGGAAACCCAAGGATCTTAATATCTTAATTAGTTTTTCGTTGTTACCGTATTTTCTCTAGTAGTAGTGCACCATGAGCGTCGCCTAAATTCCTCGAAATCTCGAGAACCGCTTATCAGAATCTATCGATGTGGGGTCGGAAAATGTAGCTGACGATGAGATCTTGTGGGGGATTAGAGTGCTGAGCTTCTGCGAAAGCTTGGAAACTGTAAAACCGTCACCAACTCAGCGGGGTGCACTACTATTAGAGAAAATACGGTATCACCTGATTTTTATTTCTGCAAACTCTCACCTTCAATTTGAAACTTTAAATCTCATTCAATAATAATTTCAATTCAACAACTCAATTCAACAATTCAATTCAACAATTCAAAAGCCGCTTTTCAGAAATCGACAATGTGCTCACCGTCATCTCCATTCCTAATCTCGTCCACTCTTCTCATCTCCTTATTTTGTCTTCTTTCAATTTCTTCTGTTTCCTCATCTTCTCATCACTCTCATCATTCTCATCATCATAAAAAGATGCAGTTGTGTGGGAGACGTTTAGCGACAACCATTTCAGCTATGTGCACTGAGAGCTCGATTGATGAGTGCCCGGTGAAAGGAGACGCTTTTGGTCAGTTTTTGACTCCTTTTTGAATATTCAATAATAAGTTTTCTAAAAGCTAGAGAATTTAGAAAAACTACCGTAAGCTTTCCAGTTTTTTTTTCGATTCACTTATGATTAGATTCAATAAGGAATCAAACTAAGTTCAAAAAAAGAGATCAAAAAGTAAAACGGTCAAAAGGAGAACTACGGTAGCTATTCGAAGTGTCTAAAATCATAAAGATAATCATAAAGATGAATGATAAAAGATAAAATAATCATATTTTCTAGAAACTTTCAATAATTTCCATTCTTTTAGAGGGGTCAATCATTCGAAAATGTTGCTCGGGTCATTGTTCTCTCCAAGATATTCGAGCATATTGTTGTTCGATTACAGAAACCGAAAAACCGATTGAGGTGAGTTGGGAAAAGAAAAGAAAGAAAGAAAAGAAAAAGAAAAGAAAGAAAAGAAAGAAAAGAAAAGAAAAGCAAAATGCAATCTATATGCTAATATTTAAATTTCCCTATGATTTTTTCATGATTTCAAAGTTAATCCTCATGATTTCAAAGAGAAATTCTTCAAAATCGCTAATTAATTTATTAAGTTATTAAGTTAATTTGTCTAATCTTTCAAAAATGGTTTTATTTTTTTCAAACCAAACCTTTAAGCTTTTTTGATCTGTCTTTGCACTTCAGTGTTCCTATTTTGCGCAGATCACAACCTGCTTCCACATTTCTCTATCCCCTTGCTATTGTCATCCAGTGTTTTCTATCTTGGTCGTTCCTGGTCCGGAGTCTTCGACTTGCTTGTGCTGGTGGTGGCTGCACTCTAGCCATCCTTTCTCTGACCGTCGCTGCCACTCCTGTGCTCCACCACGTTGCTTGTCTTTCGATGGGCCTCTTCTGGTCTCGTGGTAGCCACTCTGTGATCCGTATCGTCGATCTGTCGTCTATTCTTCTGGCTACGTGGCCGGCCCAGTCTTTTGCCCTTTAATTTCTGGTTTTTAAGTTAGAAATAGTTTAATAAGACTAAAAATCTTAAAAACTTTGAAACTCAACTTTTGCAATTAAAAATAGTGCATTGAACCGCTAAAAAACCTAAAAGATACGATTAAAATTTTAAATAAGAAACGCAATTGATTCCAGGGTTTGAACCTGGAATCAATTGCTTTCTGAGTAAACGCTAAACCAATGAGCTATAACAATAACAACAACAACACCAACAACAACAACAACAACAACAACAACAACAACAACAACAACAACAACAACAACAACAACACCAACACCAACAACACCAACACCAACAACAAATCTACGGTCAAAGTAAACTTAAACCTTACGAAAGATCAGATCCAAATCAAATCAAATTAAGGAGTTACCTTAAAATTCTCAAAAATCTAAACGAAAATCTTTATAAAACTATTTATAAACAAATTTTACAGGAACAATCGAACTACCTGGATTTCTTGGAGACTCGAAATGAGAACAGTGATGGAGATGAGGAAAGCCATCCAAAGAAAATCCACCACTCGCACAAGGATCGTTATGAAGTGCTCAATTTCTAAGGCTGATGATCAATGATATTCGAAATCCCTTTCACTGAATATCTTTCCTTTTGTTAATTTATTTTTGAATCCTTTCATTTATGCTTTTCCCCAAATTGTATATCAATGAGCTTTACGAAAATTTCTCTGCTTTGAAATTCGGATTTTTTTTCTGGAATCTAGATTTTGTGCGTTTCTTGGACTGTAGCTACTAATAATAATTAAGCCAGTGGATTCTAAAAGGCGACTTGTTCGACGGGAGCATTGAGTTACCTTAGCTGCTAGTGGGAGTACGGTAATTGAACCCCTTTGAAATAGCATTTTAGAGCAGTGAATACTGAAAGGTGACTTACTGTAGGTTACCGTAGTGTACTGGAGCCCTTGAGTTACTGTAGTCTTTGAATTACTGTAGTCCTTGAGTTACTGTAGCCCTTGAGTTACTGTAGCCTTTGGGTTACTGTAGTCTTTGAATTACCGTAGCCCTTGAGTTACTGTAGCCCTTGAGTTTACTGTAGTTCTTGAGTTACTGTAGTCTTTGAATTACTGTAGCCCTTGAGTTACTGTAGTTCTTGAGTTACTGTAGCCTTTGGGTTACTGTAGCCCTTGAGTTACTGTAGCCTTTGGGTTACTCAGCCTTTGGGTTACTCAGCCTTTGGGTTACTGTAGTTCTTGAGTTACTGTAGCCTTTGGGTTACTGTAGCCTTGGAGTTACTGTAGCCTTTAGGTTACTGTAGTCTCTGTCGACCAGCTTTTAAATGAAATTCATTTGAGCATAATATCGGACTACGGTAGCTCTAGCTCTGGCTCGTAAACCCTTGCCATCTGGTGCACTAGAATCACCTTTAGAACGCACAAAATCTCATTTGTCACAATGTTTTCTCAATCAGAAAACTTTGTAACTTTTTTTCAGGCTACTGTAAGATTGAAATCCGTTCTCAAACAATCGATTTTCTTTCTACCGTAATCTTGTATCTTTTTCATCGAATCTATTCACTTTTTGATATCAAAAATGAAAGAATATCAAAAAGAAATGGATAAGAAGATAGATTTGATGGGATAGATTTGATGAAAAGAAAAAGATAGAGCCAAGATTACGAGGTAGAGAAAGAAGAAAGGGGGTTTTTGAAAACCGAATCGACACTTACAGTATCGCGTGATGTTGTCAATGTTTTCCCATTACATTTTCCCATTACCACCGAGAGTCTTGCTATTTGGTACGGGTGCCAAATCAATCTTTGTATAATCACATAAAAATTTCTGATCAAAAAAAACAAAAAAGAAATTTCACATTTTCGCATTCATTTTTTTTTTTTGCTATTTATCCCCGGCTTTTCTTTTTCTGTAAATGAGTGATTTTCTCGAATTTTTCCTTCTTTCAATGTGATTAGTGATGTTAGTAAATGAGTTTTTTTTTATAATAACTTTTTCTTTCTTTATAATAACTTCAAAAAAAAAAATCGCGATAATTAAAAAAATGGGCACAGAAAAAAACGGATTTCGGTGAAAATTGAGAAAAAAAAGTTTTGAAATGAAATTTATAGAGAAAAAAGAAAAAAAAAAAGGAAAAAAAAATTAGCTTTTTCTTGTGACTCAAGAGAATTTTCGTTCAACTCGCAACGTAATTTTATTAAATTTTCGATATTATTCAATATTCTCTTTGTATAACTCCGTCCGTTCGCTTCCACAAGCTCTGATATGTCAAAATTTCGATTCTACGCCCTAAAATTACCTAGAAAAACAACTCTTGGAATAGAAATTGATTAATATTAGCTTTCTAGAGCTTTTTTGCTCTAAAAAGACGCGAAAAAAGGTGCGCTAATGGGCAAGGCGCGGAAAAAAAGGTGCGCAAATGTCCGGGTGCGCAAAAAAAGCTCGCATTTGTCCCACTCCCGAAAAAAGGAAAAAAAATTAGCTTTTTCTTGTGACTCTCAAGAGAATTTTCGTTCAACTCGCAACGTAATTTTATTAAATTTTCGATATTATTCAATATTCGTCTGGAAAATTTTGATTTCATTGGGTTTTTCGATGAGCTATGCGTAACTCTAGTTTTGTAAACTTTAAGCAGACTTTAAGAAGGAAAAAAAAGATTTCCTAGTTTCAAATTTGAACATAATAAAACGGTGGTAGTAATAGCGGGAGTGGGACAAATGCGACCTTTTTTTTTGCGCACTCAGACATTTGCGCACCTTTTTTTTTGCTGGAAAAGGCCTTAGGAAAGGTCGTAGAGCTTCAAAAATGTTTTCATAGAAGGGAATCGTATGCGTAGATTCCGAATTTTGACAAATCAGACCTCGCTGAGGCGTCAAATTTGGGCTAAAAGGCAAAAGGCAGTATGAGGACGCTTAAGTGCAGAAATACGCAAAAAGAATGAAATGAAATGAAGGAAAAGAATGAAAGAATGAAATTTCGGGAGTGGGACAAATGCGACCTTTTTTTTGCGCACCCGGACATTTGCGCACCTTTTTTTGCGCACCTTGCCCATTAGCGCACCTTTTTTCGCGTTTTAAGCTCTAAAAGCTCTAAAAAAGCTCTAAAAAGCTAATATTAACCAATTTCTATTCCAAATGTTGTTTTTCTAGGTAATTTGAGGGTGTCGAATTCAAATTTTGACATAACAGAGCGTGTGGAACCAACAAAACCAACAAAAACAACCAAAAACAACCAAAACCAATGTGGAACCAAAAGACAAAACGGCTAGGTCAAATTACAGAAAATTGTCGATTTTTCTCTTTGTATAACTCCGTCCGTTTGTTTCCACAAGCTCTGATATGTCAAAATTTCGATTCTACGCCCTAAAATTACCTAGAAAAACAACTTTTGGAATAGAAATTGATTAATATTCGCTTTCTAGAGCTTTTTTGCTCTAAAAAGACGCGAAAAAAGGTGCGCTAATGGGCAAGGTGCGGAAAGAAAGGTGCGCAAATGTCTGGGTGCGCAAAAAAAAAGGTCGCATTTGTCCCATTCCCGAAAAAAGGAAAAAAAATTAGCTTTTTCTTGTGACTCTCAAGAGAATTTTCGTTTAACTCGCAACGTAATTTTATTGAATCATCGTCTGGGAAATTTTGATTTCATTGAGCTTTTCGATGAGCTATGCGTAACTTTAGTTTTGTAAACTTTAAAAAAGACTTTTCTTGGGTAAAGCTACCGTAATCCCATAAAAGTCTTGGCAATAATGACCATAATTAGCGTAAAAAGCTACTCTAACTCTGCCAAAAAAAGTACTTCAATCGAAAACTGGCGTAATCTGGAAAATAGCGTACACGCTACCGAAGAAACTGCCCAATTTTCGTAAACGATCGTAAAATACCAGTCAAAATTGTTATAACTTGACAAAAACAACTTTTCTTGACTCATTTTTTACGTTATTTCTGAAAAACATGATTTTAGAACGATTTGAAGCGTCTCTGATAGTCAAAAATTGCCCTGAAAATCACACAAAATTTCAAGAAGAACAAGAAGAACAAGAGCAACTTAGGAAAAGTTCCTTTGACTTCAAGCCCCTAAAAGTTGACTTAAACTACCGTATTTCTCAAAGTGTTATAGCGCATTTTGTAGAGCTCAATGAGAGCTTTCAGATGCTATATAGCACTTATGAATACGATGTTTACACCTTAAATTTAAAACCCCCACAAAACAGTATCACTTTTTTGAGGGAGAGTTAACCGGTACTATAGCCTGGTTGGCACAATGTTCTAGTGGTACTGTTTCAATGTAGAACTTAATGTAGAGCTCAATGAGAGCTTTCAAATGCTACATAGCACTTATGAATACGATGTTTACACTTAAAGTTAAAACCCCCACAAAACAGTACCACTTTTTTGAGGGGGAGGGGGGAGAGTTGACCGGTACTATAGCCTAGTTAGCACAATGTTTTTGTGGTACTGTTTCAATGTAGAACTTGATATAGAGCTCAACGAGAGCTTTCAGTTGCTATATAGCACTTATGAATACGATGTCTACACCTAAATTTAAAACTCCACAAAACAGTATCACTTTTTTGAGGGAGAGTTGACCGGTACTATAGCCTGGTTGGCACAATTTTTTAGTCAAAGAGTCAAATGCAAAGATTTTAAAAGCTCTCAAAACACACGTTTATCTTTTTCAGAGCAAAACATAAACTTGTGTTTCAATTTGAACAGAATTCCAGCAAACAATAATCCAGTAAAAAAAATGTAATCCGGTCAAAAGGCTATAATGTATTTCAAAACATAAAAAAAACAACATATTAGTCAGTCAGAGCGTTTTCAGATGCTTTTTGAAAAAAATGGCATTCATTGCATGACATTCAGTGACATTCTGTGCACTAGATAGTGAGCGTTTACGAGTAGCGCCCCACCGTAACCCAATACCAGACTACTTTCAGCTGAATAACGTTTTAAAGGCGATCAGTGCCACTAAAAGCTACAGTAACACAGCTTTTAGAATGCATTGCTATTTTTTGGCTCAATTACCGTACATCTAATACCACAGTACTCCAAGAAAGGCATAAAATCTATGAGACTATGTGATCTATGGATGATATACTTTTGAAGTGCCGCCTCCAAGTGTCCCCAAGTCCTCCAAGTGTTCCCCAAGTCCTCCAAGTGTCCAAGTGTAGAGTGTGTTGACCACACGCAGTGGGATCTAGAGGCATTGAGAGAATCGCTCGGGAAAATCATGCGAGCCGCAGCCGAGCGAGATTCGCTGCACTTCCAAGGGATCCCCACGGAGAAGTTCACGACCATGCCCGTGGTCCAGAACTTCGCTAAACAACAACAGAAAGGTGGCGGCAAACGGGACACATTTCGCACATAAAATCTATGAGACTATGTGATCTATGGATGATATACTTTTGAAGTGCCGCCTCCAAGTGTCCCCAAGTCCTCCAAGTGTCCAAGTGTAGAGTGTGTTCCTATCGGATAATGCGTTTTCTAAAATGCGCCTATTTCGAGAAAGCTATCGTAGTCAAACCGTTAGTTTTCATCAGATCAGGCCAAGAAATGTCGTTCCTCACTGCCTTTGGAGCTGAATCGTTGGCCGGTTCAAAATCGGAGTGATTGCATGTAAACTAAAGTTTTAACTACGATAGTTTTCTCAACTAGATGCATTTTAGAAAATATTATCATTATCCGATAGGAACATCGGATAATGATAATATTGACCAATTTCAATTGACCGATAGGAACTCTACCCCGGAGTACCGTCCCCAAGTTTCCCCATTGCTAGAGGCAAACTACGTTTTCTTGCCGCTCAATTGACGGATTTGGCTACACTTTGTTTCCTTCGATATCCCTGATTAAAATCTATCGAATGAAACAAAGTGTAGCCAAATCCGTCAAGTGAGCGGCGAGAAAAACACAAAAAAAGCGTAGTTTGCCTCTGGCAACGGGGATACTTGTAGGCGGTACTTCAAAAGTCTAATTGGTAAGTAGTTTGATCCCAGAATCTTTTTTCAAATCTATTCAGCTTTTTCTGAAGAGTCTAAAATGCAAAATTGCAGTTTACAGATTTTTCACCCCAAGCAGCAAGCAAACGAGAAGAATTTGCCTTGCTTTGCTTTGCTTAGCTTTGCTTTGCATTGCATTGCTTTGCTTTGCTTTGCTTAGCTTTGCTTTGCATTGCTTTGCTTTGCTTAGCTTTGCTTTGCATTGCATTGCTTTGCATTGCTTTCCTTTCCTTTCCTTTCCTTGGGATTCCTCCATCTCCATCATTTGGGAGTTTTGCTAAGATTTCTCCATGATCTTTTTTATGAAAAACATAAAAACGCGGAACATTGGCTCATCGTTTTGATCAAAGAAAAGTAAAAAGGAAAAATAGAAAAAAAAATGGAAAAGATTAGAGATAGAAGAAGTTCAAAAATTTAGCTTTTTTGCAGGGGAAAAGCAAAAGAAAAAAGTGGATGGTACCCGGGCACGGACAGGCACTGATCACCGCTTTCTTTTTTTTCTTTTTCTTTTTTGCTCTATTTCAAATCCCTAATTTTTGCGCTCATCACCCAGGATTTCCCTGATTTGATCCAATAATCCGGAAATCACCCAAATCACCTAAATCACTCTCTTAAGCGCAAAAAAATGTACAGCTGAGCACTTTTTTGGTCGATCCGATTTCTGAAAGAAAGAATTTCCGAAAGAAAAAATCGTTTTTCTGGATAAAATTTCAATTTCCCATCAGATTGGTAAAAAATTTGAAACATCAAATTTTTTTTTAACCGTAAAATGATTGCAAAAAATGATTGTAATGATTGTAATGAAGATTCTCTAATGAGAATTTTTATTATTACCGTAAATACTGTAATAGTACCCCACCCCCATAATGACGGTGTGGAGTGTTGCGTAGTCTAGCTTTGAACGAGTTTTTGCTCGACACTGGTTTATGCTACAATGCGCGCTTAGGTATCAAAAAATAGCCCTGAATTTCAGCTATTTTTTGATACCAAAGACGCATTTTTTGAAAGTACGGGCGCTTTGAAAAAAATGAAATACTAAAAAACTTTTGCGACTACGCGACTGTACGAGGGAGGCTGGGGTACTATTGCAGTATTTACAGTACGGCAAGTGAAGCCAAAGCAAATCGTTAATACCTTTGAAATATGCTTTTTTGTAAATGAAAAAGAAACACCATATAGTACCCCACCGCCCTCGTACAGTCGCGTAGTCGCAAAGGTTTTTTAGTATTTCATTTTTTTCAAAGCGCCCGTACTTTCAAAAAATGCGTCTTTGGTATCAAAAAATAGCTGAAATTCAGGGCTATTTTTTGATACCTAAGCGCGCATTGTAGCATAAACCAGTGTCGAGCAAAAACTCGTTCAAAGCTAGACTACGCAACATTCCGCACCGTCATTATAGGGGTGGGGTACTATTACAGTATTTACGGTAGCTATTATTAGCTCAAAATGAGAATTTTAAAATATTAGAGCAATTATTTAGGGTTTAGTTAGAGATAAAAGTCGGATTTTGGTTCATTTTTCAGATTTTGATGGATAAATTCGATGAATTTCATGCAATATCATCAAATTTCTAATTAACAGCTATACTATCACAAGAAAAGCCGAATTTCGGACGCCAGGACGCCAGAGACGCTGGGTTTACATTTTTCTGAGCATAAAGTACGCTTTAAAAGATCCTGGCATCAAAGTCCTAAAAGACTGTGTTCCTCTTGGTTTAGCCAAGAGGAACACAGTACTACGATAGTTCTCCACTACGATAGTTCTCCACTACGATAGTTCTCCACTACGATAGTTCTCCAAAAAGTTGGATTTGAAAGTGTTTTGCCTTTAAGAAAGTGTGCTCAAGAGAAACTTGTGCTCTATTTGCAAACGTCATCCGAAAGGGATTACTGTTTCCAATGCTAATTATTGGGGTCAAAGTGATGTCACCGAATAACCAAACAATGGTCATTTGTCTTCAAAAAAATGAGTAAATAATGTCACCAAAAGGTCATAGAGGTCAATCCTCTATATTCTACAAATAATAGCAAAAATTGGGAGCGATTTTTTTTGAGGAAACACTTGTAGATTTCAATAATTGCAATTTAGAGAAAAAGATTGGAAATTCTCCAAAACTTGATCCCACTTGATTCCCCTCATCGGAAAGGTTTGTTTTTTTGTTTTTTTGTTTGTTTTGTTAAAAGTTTAAGCTTTTTTTTGTATTTATTGAGTTGGTGAATTGAGAACTGCCGGCTATGGTCATATGTCACAGTTTGAGCACTTTCTTCAAAAGAAACCCATTTTGGTATCAATAGAAAAGTTGTAGAGAATCAAAAATTAGGCTTATAGCCAAATTTTCAGAACGATTCAAAAACTGGTTTTCAAGAAATGCCAAATTTACGAATTTTCATAAAACTTGCATTTTAAGCGGCTATAAGCCTAATTTTTGATTCTCTACAAATTTTCCATTGACACCAAAATGGGTTTCTTTTGAAGAAACTGGGATATCTCCAGTCCTCCATTTTTGAGTCTCACACTTGTCTCACACACAAACCAAAATCCTACCACGAAAGAGGAATCCGCAAATTGCCTGTAAAATGGGCAGAAGTCGTCAATAATAATGGAAATTATTTGGAATGAATTGATGGTTTTATGTTGAATAAATTTTAGTTCAAAGTCCCGCAGTTTTCAATTCACCAACCCAATACATTAGTGAAACAGTCTAGAAGTTTTGTTTATGCATAGTTGCTGTATAAAATAGCGAAAATTTAGTCAATTTTTAAACTTACATCAACCTATAAACTCTTCAACTAGATTTTTGGCTTTAAAAACGCATAAAACGATTAAAAAACGGCCTAGAAACGTTTAAAGTCCTAGTTTTCGTAATTTTCAAACAACCAGTTTTCGTAATTTTCAAACAACAACAACAACACGGTCAGGATGCAGTTAGTTTTTTTTGTTTTTGACTTTGGAAATGTTTTTTATTTAGATCAAGGAGAGGAGACGAGACGGAAACGATTCAAAATATCAAATATTGTAAGAGATGTTACTTTTTTTAAAATTCTAACTAATAACTAATTCTGCTTTAACTTTTACTTACTTTACTAAAGCTTTTATTTTTAGAAAGGGAGCGAGCCAGGAGCGAGAAAGGAGAAAGCAAGGGAGCGAGCATGGAAAGCAAAGGAGCGAGCATGGAAAGCAAAGGAGTGAGCATGGAAAGCAAAGGAGCGAGCATGAAAAGCAGAAAAGGCAGAGCCAAGAAATAAGGCGTAAGTTTTGTTTTTTATAAGCTTTCGAAGTGTACTTATTTCACCTAAAAAACAGGGTTTTACCAAAACAAAAAGCTTAAGTTGTATTTAAATTTTCAAGCAGATTATATGAGAAAAACTGCATTCTTTAAGGGATATTGATTATTCATGTAATTTTACATTTTAAAACGAACAGACCTGTCGCCAAAATACCGCCTCCTGCTGTCACACCACCGCCACCATCACCTAAGAAAGGGTCGTCTTTAAATTACTCTGTCTAATCGATTTCTTTTAGATGATAAGAAAATCGTCAAGAAGACCGAGTCGAAAAATGTGCGCGAGTTTTGTTACGCACTACCGGTTAAATATAATATGATTTTCCAGCACTTGTAAACTTTTAGGCACGATTGAAGATTGGTCTCTTTTGTTGTCCGGGACGAGCCAGCCCGGGTGATCCAATCCATATCGCATCACCACAATTATCCGTTGAAAATGCCGTTTCTGAAGTGGTAGCACAGGTAGGTAGTAAATTCATTTGTTAACTTTTTAAAATTAAATGTTTTCTTTAGGGCCAAGTTCCTCCGTATCATCGAGCTGAACAAGGGAGCTGACTCAGAATGGAACGTCTCCAACGAAATTTCCCGCAATTTGTGTCTACTTGATTTTGTTACTTGACTGACTTGCAAACGGTGAAAATCTTGTGAAAATTGTGGCCAAAGAAATTCTCATCCTTTTACGTACGAGTTTTTATCCTTTGCAAGTATGCCCGAGAATGATCCAAATATCTTTTCTTCTTTTGAGGCGATTTTTCCTCATCCTAACCTCTTGTGATTTTTATTTATTCATCACTAAATTTGTATCGGAGTCAATAATTCCCGTGAAATGCTATTAAATTCCTGCAAAGTTGGTCGATTTATCATTTCCGGAAAAAAATCACCCTCAAAATTGGCAAAGCAGTGTTGTGAATTGTCAGCACACCCACAAAGGGGTACTTTTGAGGGTTTATTTCTTGGAGAAAAGAAAAACAGTCGAGAAACCCCGGAATTTCGTCGTTACCCCACCAAAAAAAAGAGCTTTTTAGTAAAGCTGAAACTTTAAACAGATAAGCGGGAGGGTTTCTTTGAGGGTCTAGCCGGAAAAAAACAATGAAAACGCCCGATAATTCCCACCCACGATTCGACAAAGTATCAGAGTTCAGGAATTTCTTTGAAGCCTAGCTTTTAAGTCATTTTTAAACATTTTTTAAGACACACAAATTAAATCTTTATTCGCACACTTATGACAATTGTAACACGGGTTTTTTTCTTTCTGAAAGTTGGCCAAATTCTTTTCTTCATCAGCACTTGAAAAAAATAGCAAAATTGTCAAAACTTGGAAACAAAATAGTTCACATTAACGATGGGCGCTTTTCAAAGAAATTGATTCGAACGAGTATCCGAGTTGAAGTGAAATGAAAAGGGGAGCACTTACCTTGCTCTAAACAAAATACTTATGCCAATTCAGGTAAGAATCAGCCTACTTCTGCTTATCACCAGTTTCTTGAACGACCCCAACGCCGACAATGTTTCCCGTTGTAGCCAAGTCGATGTCGAACCTAAAGAAATAGTGCCATAAGCGTCGAGTGCTTAAATCCCGTACCCAGTGCCGGCAGCTTCAGGTATCGGTGATGGTGGTACCGCTGCACCATGAGTCCAAGGTGGTGGTGGACAGCAAGCTAAAATTTGAAGATTTTATCCAGCTACATAAAAAACCAATCAATATTAGCTGCAACTTCTCTCATCCGAGCCTCCTCTTCCAATTGGCGCTTTGTCGAATAGGTTTCGTAGACCTCTTTGAACTTCATAAACGTCTAAACAAACCATCTATTTAACCATTTAAATGCTCAAAACAACTCACATCAGTATATTCAGGCTTCATGATCTTCATCTCGTAGGAGTAATTCGCAAATGCCATTGCTAAGTACACCGTCTGAACAGAAGCCGCTCACATTCCTGAATCAATCATTAGCAACGAAGAAATGCCTCAAAATACCTCTTAATTGCTTGATGACAGCTGACATTTTGAGAGGCTTCGACCTGACCGACTTCTGGAGTATCATCTCAATTGCCACAACGGTACCGGCTCGACTTAAATTGATAAAGAAAGAACAAAACGGACCAACAAACCAATGAACAACGGTCGTGTAACGGGAATTCCGAGCAAGACGCAGAAGACGAAAAACGGCCAACAATAATTACCACGATCAGGCCTAAAAAACCAAAATGGTTGAGTATTAGACCACGAATCCTTTCGGTCCATAAACACTCACCAAGCAGTCCATTGGTAATGTTTCAGGTTGAAAAGCTCTTTGCCCTTGTCAAGAATGTTCAGCGAACAGTTGACAATTTGACGATCACTCGTGTCGACTCCCATGCGACATCGTGCAAACCGTAAAGAAAAGATCATCATAAATACTACCAAATAACTTGATTACCGCCAAAAATCTTCTCTTGTCCGAGTTGATTTGGCCAATATTGCTCGCTTTTTCGTTTGCCCAGTTCGTCAACCTAAAATTAGCTAGATATTGAAATTGCAAAAAAAGGCAACTTGACACAACATGATAATGTTTTCCACTCGTTCTTGCACAATCAAGAAAACCAAAAATCTAGAAAATTTTAATTAAAAGAGACATAAATAACCACTAATTAGACTTGCTTATTGATCTTTTATCGACAACGATCACTATTGATAATGATCGCTATTGATAATGACCCTTCTTGATCATTATTGATCGCTATCAATCACCAAAAGTTAAACCCATTATTTTTACAGTAGAGTTGGAAGAAAATCTCGTACTCACTTGACGACTTTCAGGGTCGGGGAACCGTCAGAACTCTTATCTGTATTCAAACTTTTCAAAATCCTTATCGAATAAGCAATATCAAATAATAGCATATTATCTTGTGGTTATCACGGTCAACAAATCGGAAAAGATCTCTTTGATTTTACTGCCGATCTTCCTTTAATGTTGCGGACAGTTTGCTACTAAGGAGGGTTGCTTTTAGGGTGATTTATCAACAGCGATCAATAAGCTTATTGATCGATTATTGATAACTATTCATATTGATCATCATATTGATCGATCAATAATCAAGTCTACTACTGCAAATGCCGACCAGTGGACCTTGGGCACAAATGAAGTTGTTCAGCAATGGATCTTCCCTAAGCAAACTTTAGATTGGAAAACTCGGATAAAACAAACTTGACGTAATTGACGTGAATGTAGTCGTCTTTGCCCTGTAAAATGACACGCGGCTGATCCAAACAGAGTACATCTAAAAGCGAAGTTTACACAATTTTTCTCATAAAACCCTTTCTTTGTATCGATTTTTGGTGGGGTTCTTGTCCAAAGAGGCTCGTTTCGCGTTTGGCGTGTAGTAACCCTTCAAATTCGTCTCCAATTCTTTCAATCTTTCAATGCCCGTGCCCATGATGTTGCCAGTGGAGCGATTGAAGCGATCCTTTTGGCCTTGGGTCGGGTGTTTAATTTCTAAAGAAAACAATATATAATGAGCATCAGGCCCGTACTCAGAAAAAAATGGGGGGGAGGGCAAGAACCTATTTTTTAGACATCTGGCTAAAAAATTTTTCTTTGGCTTTGCCGAAGTTTCAGGGGGCAAATGTCCCTCTTGCTTCCTTCCCCCTGGCCTTATGGACATACATTCTCGCTAATTGATAACATATCAAGTTCGGAAAATTTGACCGAATCAACTAACGCTTACCATCAGCAAGTTGTCGCCGATGAGCGAGGCCGCCCGGTTGTTTTGGTGGATGAGCACCGGCTAGAGGTGTTGCTGCTGGTGGAGCCGCGGTTGGTTGTGGTGCGGATGGTGAGGGTGTGACTTGCTGCTATTGTGGTTGCTGTAGTAGTTGTACGTCGGCTTCTTTCTTCTCGGTTGCCATCTCGTCATCGAACTTCTTCTGGTCAAAGGCTACAGTCGTCTTTTTCTTTAGCCCATCCTAAAAACAGGAATTATTGGATGAATCAACATTGCAATAGATAAAAATTAAAGGCTCACCACGCCAAATTTTGATAAATAAATTTCGAATGTAAATTTTGTTGTCGTGATAAGGGTTAGAGAGTGTCAACAAATGCAGGAAGTTAGTTTAATGGCGAATCCTTCTAATTTTTTTTGTCCTTCAATGAACCTTCTTTTGTCAATGATTTCTTCTAGTGATAAGCACTAGAAGAAATCATTGACAGGCTAAAGATTGTCAACAAATGATTAGATTAATGTCAACAAAAGAAGTTAGATTAATGACGAACCCTCCAAATTTTTTTATACTTAAATGAACCTTCTGTGTGCTAAACTAGTCATTATCATACAAAGTCATATCTTCTTTTTGCATCATTTTCCATAATCTCTTCTCCATTTTCAGAAAGCCACTAATCATTCCAAAGAATCGCGTCAACACATTTCCCAAATTAGACACTAAAACCCTCACTCGAAAAAGGTTGAGGGATCAAAAATTCGGTGATTTTCTTTTTTTCTTTTTCACAGTTCTCAAAGATTCTTTTTTAAACTAAAAAAAAGGGGGGAGGGAGGGATTCATGGATGGACGGGTTCGTCGCGACTGATAACGCGTGAAAAATCGTTGCGTCGAAAGAAGAGAAAGTTCATTTTATGCCCCTCACTTCACGACTCCATTTTTCACAAAAATGTTTTACCCCAAATCTTCCAAATAGATTCGTCATCGAGAATTTGCTCTTTTCAAATGCATATTCTTCAAGGGCTGAGCTCTGAGAGCGTTTTTGCTTGAAATACTTTTTCTAAATTTGAAAACTTTATGATTGTTGGTCTATTATAGACCAATAATTTGTTGGTCTATTGTAGACCGTGTTCTGCTTGAGCTGGCGTATTGTGAGAGTACTCATTTTCTCAGTGCTATAGAGAAGCCACAGTAACCCTGCTATATTCTTTTGCTGCATTCTCACTCTAGCAAAATACGGAACGAAACATCTTTGTCTTAGTTCTGTTTTCTATTTCCGCTCGATTATTTTCCTTGTACATTTTTCAATATCACTCAATGTCTTTTTCAAAAACCCATTTACAGATTTCCTTTCCACAAATGACCACCTCAGCCCGGCATTTATCCATTCCATCTTCATCGGGACATGGCATGCCAAAACCCTCCTCATCAGCCCCATCATCGCCGACAACTCTTCGACCAAAACAGGGTTCATCTCCATCGCCGCCAACAATCCGAAAGAAAGCTGTCAAATCAACAGATCAAGTAAATCAACTTAAAAGATTCGATAAAAATTCCTTCTAGGTACCAGATCTCCTCGATGTGCCCCAAGAGAATAAACCACATTTCCACCAAAAGCTCAAACTGAAGATCATCGACTTTGACGCCGAGATCGAAAAAATGAAAAATGACGTTAGAAATTGATAACTGAAAACAGCAAAGAACAGTTTTTTAGTCAGTAAACGCTTCCCGACAAATGGTTTTCGACATCGAAGTCGCCAATATGGAGGGAATTCGAGCACTTTCGATGCTAGAAGAACAAGACGGTAACAGAAAAAACGAGGGTTCATTTGTGATTTCCGAAAATCTCAGAAAAACTCGATCAAATCCAAACCGATCTCGAGACGATTCACAACGATATGAGCGAAGTGAAAAAGGATATCGGAAAAATGAACCGAGTGCTCGGCTGTATCCCGAAGAAAATCCTCAGCTGGTGAGCGAAAATAATCAAATTCAACCAAAATCCTAAATCATCTACTCGCATTACAAATTATTAGCCAATTTTTATCTTTTCATTCGAAAACAGGGTATTTTTCTTTTTTTTAAAAATTTGATTTTGATTACATTATTTGAACCCTTGTTTTTCACGATTCCCCAAAAAAAACAGAGATAATTTTTTTCAAAAGTTTGTACATAAAATTTTAGTATTCCTATCAGCAAGTGCTCTCGATCAAACACCGCCGATTTCGAAGTGTACCGAAGGTGAGTCATAAAGTCCCGAAATTGTTCTATATCTCCAAGTGTCTATATCTATATCCAGTGTTCTATATCTCCAAGTCCCAAATCAATTCCTCAAATTCGCACACCCCACAAATAAATTCGTCTGGAAACCGATCGGAGAGAAAATTCCACAAATTTTCCCCCAGTTATTCGAAAGAAAATCCATTTTCTTATCAACTCCCAGCGGTTCTCATGAACCAATAAAGCCTCGACCAGCTTGACGCAGCCAAAAGAATTCTTACCAACAGAAAAAATATCTGAAGAAAATAATATTTGCCTAAGTGTCACACACAAAAAACAAATTTTAGAGCCTCACAGCCGGCTATACAAGTTTCACTAAAGAAAAACAAGCTACACGAGAAACGAAGCGAGACTCCAACACACAGGTAGAAATACTGAATAGCCTCTAGAAAAAGCTAATTTTTAGGTTAACTGGTGACTCAGCAGCCGAAGATGAGTTGGAAGCAAATTTGAGACAGGTAAACCACATTGGATTAGTCATTGCAAAAGATTGCAATAAGTCGTAAAGTTCAAAGAAGCATTTGGGATTCTTGACTTGTGCTAGTTGTGCAATCAGTGTCTAATTTAATGACACTTTGCAAAAAGCCATCTTCTTCTTCATCTAAAGCTAAAAATGTAGTTTGAGACATTCTTGCCAATGATGAAACCCTCAAATAAACCAAAGACCATCAAATTCAAGTGACTTTACAAGTTATTAACAATTCTTTCATTTCAGGCGAATGAAGGAGTCAACAACTTACGCCATCTTTCGATTGACATCCACTCGCAACTGATGATCCAAGATCCCAAGTTGAACATGCTAGTCTCTATGGTAAGCAAAATGGTCCCAATTCCGTATCTATCCCTTTTCCAGGCCGAAAACAGTTCTGCGGCGCTCGGCGGTGCACACAAAGAAGTGAAAAAGCTCATCGGCGATTGATCCATCACACCAAACTTTAACACTACAAAACTACGAGCAAAGTCTCCTCTAGAAAATGAGTCAATACGGGGATTGTCTGTGTCATGTACTATGTACAGAATTGATATGCTATAAATTAATTTGTCGTTTCATTTTGTACCTCATTTACCCATCATTGGCAAGAAATCACAGAACCGTCACCACGTCACAAATCAGAATTGAATTGAGCAATCACAAAATTGAGGCGCTAAAATATAGAACCAAACTATAAGCTCAGTGTGTTAGGATATGAAACCAACTTTAAAATAGGTTAAATATGGAAAAGTTCATTGGCCTTGTTGACGATCATTTTCGCGATGGCAAGTGAAGAAGTAGCACCAGGGCTTGGAGCATTACGGACATGTAAAATACGGCCATCAAACTAAAATTCTTTTTTGAACAAGCTCTTTTTGTTTTTTTTACTTGTCCCTTTGCTTCATCAAATACAAAATCATCGACGAGATTACCACTAGAGTCCATTGCTTGCGCTCGAACACCAGCTGGCCCTCTAAAATCATAGTACATTTTAAAATTAGAATAAAATAACTCGCCTTGTCACATCACTGAACTTCAATTCTGGGACAAACCGTTGCAGTTGTTTAACCTAAAAATTATTTTCGTTGAACATATAAACAAACAACTAACCTGCGCCCGGATGTAAATACCACGGTAGAGCTCTTTCATTCCGTAGTTGAAGTACTTTTGGACCAATTTGTGCATGCCACTAAAACTCATAATATGGCTTAAAACGATTTAAACGATCATTGCATACCTATAAGAAAGTGATTCGATCAAATCCCCTGGGGAAATCGATAAATAGGAGTAACCTTCTCGTTTGTAAGCCAAGACCTAAAAAGAAAAGTGTTGCACACGAAACAAAAATTGTCAGATTTTATCTTCAAACAACAAAAACTTACCGCATTTGGGCCAAGCCAAACATCGCCGTTCATTCTAGGCGTAAAATGAACTCCCAAGAATGGAAATCTTGGATCAGGTACCTGAAGATTTTTGGTCAAATCTTCATAAAAATATTACCGGATAAATGTTTGTTTTCACAAGATGGCGTTTTTCAGGCTTCAACAACAAATATTCGCCTCTAAATTGAATTAGTAAGGGAAACTATTTTCACAAAACCTGAACGGGATAATTTTAGGATCACTGGAGCATCCAGATAATTGGGCTACTCGATCCGAATGTAAACCTGCACAAGTGATCACATAACGCGAAGTTATCGACCCCTCAACTCTTAATTGATAATTTTCAAAACAAAGCTTACCTTAGATGCATTTGAATTCAAACGAATCGGGAAATTGGGATCATTGTTTTCGTCAAATGACACAAGCGGAAAGCTCAACAAGACCTAAAGCAAGTTGTAACTTTGATATTCTCATATTCTTACACTTCCTCCTTTTTCTTGAAAATCTTTTGCATATTCTGCCGTAACAGCTCCCCAATCCACGATTCCCGTATGGGGTGACCAAATCGCTTTTAAGCCCTAAAAATTCAACCATTCAGTGTTTACATTTCAAGTTACTACTTTGCAATGCGGCTCGTATTCTTTAATCTCTTCAGCTTTCACCAATTTCAAATCGGGCACTCCATTCTGCAAACCACGTTTGTAAAGGTTCTAAAAATCAATTTAACTTAAACAAAAGCCTTTCAGTGTTTACTTCTAATCTATCCAATTCCACCGGTTCAACAGCAACAATGAGTTTTCCCGTTTTCTTGTATGGAAATTTTCGCTGATCAAAGAAATCGTACGCCATTTTCATACCTAAACATGTTTAATAGATATCTCATAGTCAAAAAAAACTACCTTCGACGCATAATTTCGCTTTCAAGCTACCGGGTGTGTAGTAAATGCCAGCATGAATTACACCACTATTGTTACCACTTTGATGAGGAGCTAAAGAAGGATTAAGTCGTTACATATGACATAAATCAAATGATGTTCCTTATAAAAGTACCTTATGCCCACCTATGCATACCTAGATGATCTTCTTTCTCAATCACTGCAACCCGGAGCTCGGGTCGGTCGAGTTGTAGTTGACGTGCCGTCGCACATCCCACAATCCCGCCACCAACGACAACCACGTCATAGTTTCTAAAAAATAAAGTTAGCGTCATTTGTAGGCGAGCCAAACTGAGGTAAAGATACAAGATTATGGTTTAAAATTGTAGCCAGAACCAGAGTCAGTCTGGTTCTGGTTACAATATAAGTCGTTTCATAAATCAAAAGACAAACTTTTTCTTTTCGAAGACGCTCTTCGCTCTTTGAAATGCGAGACGAGGATGATTCCTGGTAATAAGCATCCTGAAATTATAAATTATGTATTGACAACTTTTCAAAAGATACACAGTAAAAGAGAACCAACATCATAAGAAATATTTACAAATCACAGATAAGCACAGATCAAATTTAGTCATCCTTTTTTGCCTTCTTATTTTTCGCTGGTACATCTTGAGCAATCGTTTTTGGAGTGGTTTCCTTGACCGAATTGAATTTCTTTAAGTCTAGTGGTGGAGATGCATGAACTTTTCCAGCATTTGCTCTTGGTGCCAATTCTTCGTCCATATTCTTTATCAAAAAGTACAAGTCGGCAAAGAAAATGATTGTCGCAGGTATCAAGCCAAGAATGAATCTAAAAAGGATTCTTTTTATGTTAAATTAAAAATAATTTTTACCTGGTAGCAAGATCAAATTGTCTGGCTGGATATGCATAAGTGATGCCCGTGAAACCAAAGAAAAACCCTCCTCCAACAGTGACAACAAAGTTCAAAACCTAAAAAATAGCAAATGCATTTAGCTTGAAAATTGATTTTGGTGAGTGTACACCTTCAAATGAACTAACCGTCGTCAATTGTCGATTCATCGCCCGCATATCTGAACCAAAATCACGCATCAATGGAGTGGCTCCATAGGATTGCGAAGGATCAATCGTTTCCACCAGCTTCTTATATTGTTTGTCCTCAAACCGCTTCCGCAAGAATTCCGTTTTTTGTCGAAACTCAGCACTGGCCTAAAGCCTTATGTACAGTTGGAAGCTTTGTACAAAACCACCTTGTAATCGGGTTCTTTTACTCGTCGAAATTCACACAGCAACGCGAATAGAGCGGGGAAATCCTTGGGTGTTATCTCCTAAATAAAATGAGTTTTCTAAAACAAAGAGCAAACCTCAATCCTTTTCATATCGTCCATCGAAAGGGCCTCTTTTTCGCGGATTTCTCTCAAAATCGTTTGTTTTTCGTTGCCATCGATTTTATTCTCTAATTCCAATAAACATTTTCTTGATCGATCCGTTTGCACAAACTGACAAGACATTTATCTGGAGCAAAAAATTTTGTTAAAAATTATTTTAATTTTTTAGTTAACAAAACCACCACAGGTAGCAAAAACTGAAAGTCAACGAACACTGCATGATTAAAAAAAGCTCATGAAACGAATAAAGGTCACATCCTGCCGGCGTTGTCGTTGTATTTTGTAGTGCTCGCCTAGCTCTTTGAATGCGTGTCTTTACAGTGAGGTCGTTGCAACGACTTTTCTCAACCCAAACTTGAAACCATGTTTTATTTTAATTGAGCAAAGAAAAATTACAAAAATCCACCAAAAACACTAGAAAATAAAAGAAAGAAAACAAACTAATGAAACGAATTATAAGCAAGAAATATCACAAACAAATCAACCACGAGATCATATATACGTAAAAATTTAAGTACAAAAACAAATATCGAAGCTTATGCGCTAAAGTTTTGTGAGTCACATTTGTCACAGATGAATGCGATTGAACCATTTGGTGCCAAAAGCAATTCTTCGTTTTTGCCTAAAACCACAAAACTGAGCCAATAAGTTTTCAATGAGCTAAAAGTAAAATATCATTCACAATCTGACCTGTAAGCATGGGCGCACTCGAAATCGACATTAATTCATTACAAGGTTCTACTGGAAACGTGCCTAGTGGATACCATGTTGAAGAATCGTAAGCCTGTCAATAATTTAATTACGTAAACCAAGTCGTCGAACCTGTTGAGGGGTAAGTTCCCGAAGGACGGTAGGTTGAGAGATTCGACGTATTCCACCATCAAATAAATCCCTAGAAAATTTATTTACTATTATCCAGAAATAAAAACCTACCAAACGAGCTCCAACCTAACCACGAAAAACTTGTTCATAAAGCTACCATCCTTTTTCATCTAAACAAAGCTTGCCGCAAAAAGTTGTTTTTACTAACCTGAAACTCCCCTACACAATGCAACAGTAGAAAGGCCGATGTGTCTTCTATTTGTGCAATTTCAGTCTGAACAGAGTATTATTTTCTTGATTTAAACACACCTCGTAGTCGACAAATCCTTGATATGCTGAAGTTTCCCGTTTAAAAGCCCAATTCATACAAGCATTTAATACTTTCTCAATATCGACACATTGCCGTGAGATCAAAAGAGGAGGGCGGTTCGGTATTCGAGGAATCACGTCTGGTAGTGTATCTACGAATTTATATGAAAAGTAAAAATATAAAGAACCAACCATTTTCATCACTAGCAACTTCAGTTAGTTGATAGTTCACCTTATTGAAGATCTAAATTACAAATAAATTTGCGATTTTACAAGAACTACCTCGTAAGTTTGCGTCGGACAAACACTGACTCGTTCTCCCAAATCCAGCGTCAAACTTGATCCACTATCATCGTCGTTTTTATTAGCCAGCGAAACAGCCCAAATCTATACGATTTTATAAGGTGAAAATTCAAATAATAAACTGTTCTCGTTCCATATGATGTTTTTGTCAAACTCGTCAATCGTTGCGTAAAGTTGAAGTTGATAAGCGTTTGCCCACAATTTAATATTCCTCCATAATTGTGCACGCGAAAATGGGCTCTAAAATTTATAAGAACACAAATGTTAAAAAACAAACTTAGTCAAAGCTTTTTTGTTTGAGAGTCGTCGAATACAAGTAACCACCGAATGACTTGTGAAGTGAATATGGTGTGATGGATAAAAGAAGTGCACCTAAAAAGTGAGAGTTATGTATTTAAAAAGATCTAATGCCCAACACTCATTTCGACGGAAGATGGCCCAACCGGCTTTCGGCTTTTCCATTGATCACTAAAACAGAATAGATTATTGCCAAAACAAAGGTCAGACTCACTAATCAAAAATGAGTGTGGCAGTGTGCAATCCAGTGTGCGGAAAATACATAAAAATGAGCCCGTGTTCCGGGAAGTCTTCAACCCTGAGCATTTCTTCCTAAACAAAAAATCATACGGGCAGTGACATTTCAAACCAGATAACACCGTCCAGGAAATAGCTTCATCATGTAAATGTCTCCACTGTTTTGACGCCTAAAGCAAAAAAAGAGAATAGCTAAAATATTAATAAAATTACCTAATTATATTAAATCCAACAAGCCATTTTTCATTATGGCTGACCCCCAAAATTCCACCGCTAGGAAACATCTCTCTAAACTTGAAATATACAAGTTTTAAACTTCGCCAACTTTATCGCACGTTGTGATGATTTTTGCCCACGTCCTTGTATTGTCACAGGGAATGAGTTTAGCTCGTAACGACAAACAACCCGTTGGCGAAGCGATGAACGAAGCCCCAACTAAAGCCATGTCACGTAAACAATTTATAAAGAAAGCTGACCTCTCGATGAGCAACCATACGGACAATAGACCTTGATTGACATGAGTTGAGCGAAGAAGGACGAGCGATAAGACTGGGTTCAGGACAATCCATCGCTTTTACCAATGATTAAGGAGAGAACACGACATATATTAGCCTAAAACTGGCAACATTCAAAAGAGAAAGCTACGCGCCAATTCTTTGGCAAAGGGAAAGCGAAAGAAAGAGAAAGGAACTTTTCACAAAATGTCTGACCTCAAAATTGACTAGACATCCAAGAAGCAATGATAACTGCACCTTTAGCTATTGGATTTGATAAATTCCTTTATTTAGACACAGATAATGCGACAAAATGCCAATATAAAAATCAGACATCAAAAATCACGTATGCACAGGTAGAGGTGAAATTTAAGGCTCAACAAATCCGACGCTGATTGAAGCATCATCAAGATCGCCAGCTTCTTCGAAGACGGTGAGAAGTGTTGAAGCAATCATGGCCTAAAAAAAGCGATCGAATAAAATTAAAGCAAAAACCTTGTAAGCACGCTTTGTAGCAGCATCATAATGACTTTCGATCTCACGAGCCTAAACCAACAATCATTGTACTACGTAAACAATTAGACAATCATTTTAATACATGAAATTTCATGCAAAAACAAATAAACTACTTGGATGACACTCTGAGCAATCGTCAACGAAGAGTTGTTTATGATGGCGCTCATTTGGTTTGCCATTTTTGGCAATTCATTAACGACTTTGACCACACGTTCTTTCACTTGTTGAATACGGTTTTCAGCGATTTTCTCAACATCTTCAAGAATAGCCTAAAAGGAAATTAGATTGAGAAGGCATTAAGAAAAGCCACCTTCGCCGTCGCCGGTTGCTCAGCAATCAATTCATCAAGCTTCGTTTTGATTTCGGCACGAGTGGAATTTGGATTGCGAACGATGGCAAGCAAGCTCTTGCTGAAGTTTGCGTTGGCTCCGATCTCGTGCTGCACTACTTCAGCGACATTGTCCAAATTCCCGAGCATCACCACCTCGTGGAGCGTTTCAGTCGGCACGTTTTGAATTTGATCCGCAGCATTTCTAAAAGCAAAGCGTTTAAACTAATAAAAACCCAGTCTTACTTTAGAACATCTCCGACGGCGCGTCGCTTTCTAGATTCATGAAGAAATCCCGGTCGAGCGACGCAAGCAGCGACGAGAAGCGAGGTAAAGAGAACGAATTTGAACATTCACAACGTCAGCGGCTAAAGAAGTTTAATAAACTCAAAAGGAACGTCATAAGCTTGAACTTTAAAGGAAATATCTTATTCGGTAGCTGCTTCTTAAAGTAACTTCTTCAAAAAGAGACAAAAATAGCTAGTTCCGTTCCGTCACGCATTTTATACCTAGGAATTATAGCCTGCCCCATTTTTGTTCGAATTTTGCCACAAAATTAAAAGTATTCAAATAGAGCTTAGGGGAAGACTCTGAAAGTATATTGCACTGCAGAGCTAATGCTTTTTAAGCTTTTTAAAAGAAGCCATTAAAAATCCGCGGGAACTCACTGCCGAAATGGCCGAGAAGGGGGGGGGGGGGGCCCCCGCCTCTTTCCCCCCCCGCTGGGGCTTTGGGGCCGTTGGGGGGCGGGGGGGGGGGCGAAAGAAAAGGGGGTTAGAAAAAATTTTTAATATAAAAAATTTATGGGAGGGGGGGAGGGGGGGGGCGGGGCAAAAAGGGGCCCAAAGGGGAAAAAAAACAAAACACCGCCAACCCCCACCGCCCCCCGGGGCCCTTCCCCCCGGCCCGGGCCCGGGGGCCCGGCGAGGGGGGGGGGGACGACAAGGGAAAACAAGCACCCAAAAAAAACCCCTAAAAAAAACCCAGGGCAAAACAAAGACCAAAAAAGAAAAAAGGGGGGGGAGGGGGGGGGGGGGAGAGGGGGGCGCGCCCCCCCCCCCCCCCCCCCCGAGAAATGCTCTGTGCGAAACTTTCTCCTCATTTTATAGTCGCTTACCGTAATCAGAATTAGCGCGACAGTAACCTACGTCGCAGAAAAAAATGTCTTCATTTAAACGGTGTTTTTTGGGGAGTGGGACAAATGCGACCTTTTTTTTGCGCACCCGGACATTTGCGCACCTTTTTTTCCGCACCTTGCCCATTAGCGCACCTTTTTTCGCGTTTTAAAAAAGCTCTAAAAAGCTAATATTAACCAATTTCTATTCCAAAAGTTGTTTTTTCTAGGTAACTTTAGGGCGTAGAATCGAAATTTTGACATATCAGAGCTTGTGGAAACAAACGGACGGAGTTATACAAAGAGAAATATCGACAATTTTCTGTAATTTGATCTAGCCGTTTTGTCTTTCAAATTGGTTCCACACGCTCTGTTATGTCAAAATTTGAATTCTACGCCCTAAAATTACCTAGAAAAACAACTTTTGGAATAGAAATTGGTTAATATTAGCTTTTTAGAGCTTTTCTAAAACACGAAAAAAGGTGCGCTAATGGGCAAGGTGCGCAAAAAAAAAGGCCGCATTTGTCCCACTCCCGTTTTTTGTGCAAAGATCTCGACTTTTTTTAGTGTTTTTAGTTTATTTCTTTTACAGTCATGCACAAAAGTCTTGTAACATCCAGTTTAGCAAATTTCAAAGTGTAATAACTTTTTTTCCAAAGAGGCGAATTCCCAAACAGTTTTTGGTTTTCAGTTGTCAAAAATTTCTATTTTTATGTGCAAGAAAAACTTTATTCAAACAATTAACGAAAATTAAGAAAAACAAATGAAAACAAAAACGGGCGTATTTTTGATGCTCAAAAGTCTTGTAACATTTGAAAAAAAGAAATTATCAAATTTTTAATACTTTATTGGTCCACCTTTAGCTTTGATGACTTCCTGGATCCGCTTTGGCATTGAATCAACTAAATCGCGTAGAATTTGGGCTCCCAGGGATGACCAGGTACGGCGAATGAAGGACCAAAGCTCTATCTTCAAGTTGAATCGCTTTCCCTTCGGCTTTGACTTCAAAAAAGCGCAAAGATGCTCAATGACGCTCAAATCTGGGCTGTATAGAGGAGCTGAGATAAGTTGAACACGATTTGCTTTGAACCATCCTGGAAGACGAGCTTTTTCACCATTTGCGAGAGTGACGACCCTGCCCATTAACAATTGACTCTTGTGGCAAGGCGCATTATCCTGATAAAGGAGCCATTCAGGACCCATTTTTGCAATTGAAAATGGCAGAAGATGATTTTGGAGAACTGATTTGTAGCCTTCAGCGTTGAGTTTAGTAGCACTAGCGGATCTGAGCGGATTTTTTGACATATAAAAAGAAAAAAAGCGAAATACTTCAAATGTTACAAGACTTGAGAATCAAAAATACGCCCGTTTTTGTTTTCATTTGTTTTTCTTAATTTTTGTTAATTGTTTGAATCAAGTTTTTCTTGCATATAAAAATAGAAATTTTTGACAACTGAAAACCAAAAACTGTTTGGGAATTCGCCTCTTTGGAAAAAAGTTATTACACTTTGAAATTTGCTAAACTGGATGTTACAAGACTTTTGTTTTTTAATCTCAAAGATCTTCACTTGTTTTCAACACCTCCAAATAAATGTTCTCGTTAAAGTTTCTCACTCCAAAGGGTCGAAAACGTTTGACCGCAGTATGGCGATAGCTGTAATAAGTTTTGAGTTTCAAAAGGCGTACCGAATTCCACACACACGGGGCGCCACATGGTCCCTCCTTTTGCACAAGTCTCCCACCAAGGGCACACGGGGAAGTGGTTTCTCCGCCGGAATGGAAGGGAAGAGACTCAATCGCCTCAGGAAGAGGACTCAATTGACGGCTGTTGCGGCTGAAGGAAATGGGCATGGGGTGTTACACCATTGCTGCTGTGTCGCCAATACTCTCCCCAGGTATGTGGACACCATGCACTCATTCAGTCTTATTGAGTCATCCAAATTTTTCCTTAGAATAACACTGGTCTAGTCAAGATCCTGCGTTTAGGCATGAGTTTTTTTTAAGCCTCCTCGAGATTGATCCAGAAATTTCATATTCAATTGTTTGATCAGTGTTTTGAGCTTTAGAAGTGGCACTTTAGTCGCTGCTGTATCCCTTGATATAGATTCACTTTTTTACAATAAACTGAAACTCCAGTACTGAAACTGTAGACAAGTTGAAGATTCTCTGCCATTCTCCAGTTAGTCTAGCCTATCTTGAGAATATCTTGAGAGAAATGGATAGAGAGTCTTTGCTTACAAGCCGGCTCAATCTACTCCAATCAAGCACTCCTCCTCAATAGCAACTACATAATCACAACGATTTCTCCCAGCCACAACATTCCCTCAATCTTTCCCCCTGTTCACCCCTATTTTTAGGACCCTTTCACTCATCAATGCACTTTTCTTTCACCGCAAAAAGATCGACTTTTTATCACAGTGTAACTCTTTTCTTTACAAGCGACTTCACTTCACTTGGGTGTTCCCCTCTCATTTCTCCCTCTCCGCTCATCACCTCAGCCTGAAAAGCGATTATACAATCGTTGTTTAGGTCTGGCTCATTTAGAAAACAATCTTATTTTGAGCGAATAATTCTTATTGGTTTTTCAGATTTTTTTATGCAAGTGAACATTTGATTAGGGTAGAGTGAATTCCTCTTAATTCACCGTTTTCTCCTGGAGAAAGCTATCGTAAGTAGACTTGCTTAACGATAATTAACCTAATAATCGTAATGGATTTTTAATGGTCACTTTTTGCCTATTTCTCAATGACTTTTTCCTAATAAAAGTAGAATGTAACAAAACTTCCTTTAAGCTGTTTATGATTTTTGTCAGGAATCTAGCTAATCTGTTCATGTCAGGAATCTAGCTAATATGTTTATGCCAGGAATCTAGCTAATATGTTTATGTCAGGAATCTTGCTATCACGATTCTTTAACCTTAACGTTAAGTAAATCTAATCGTAGATTGCCTTTCTTTTTAAATTTGAATCAATTGATGAAAAACCTGTCTCCTTTATTCATTCACTCAAGATTTCCAGTCAATGAGTAGGTTAAGAGGAGACTTAATCAAGATGTTTTCAAGCAAAAGCCAGCTGGAGTACTCTAGTTTTCTTACACTTTCTATAAAACACTAAACCAAGAGGAATACAGTCTACTATTTCTTTTTTTTGAGGCAAAGCGCTATTCTTGAGATGTTGCATTGAAAAATATATCCATTTACAGATGTCGCTAGTAGATCGACTACGGCAGAGACTCGGAATCACAAACGAGCTTTACCGGGCAACTCTCGCCGAACTATTCGCAACCGGTTTTCTAGTGGTAGGTGAACGAAAGATAAACAGTCAAAAACGTGTCTCCAGTTTGGTGGTTGTTGTGTAAACGCTCAATATGTGATCTCAAAAACGAGAAACAATGCCTACATTGGGGTTTGCATCGGATGGGGAATAGCGCTAGCGTTCGCAGTGCAACTCGCCTATCGTATTTCAGGTTAGTGAATGCGTTATTAGATGTGCTTAGTGAAAAATACCGTATTTTTACCGTAATCTACGCAAAATACATAGATTCGGGTTAAAACTATGGTAATACGCGCATTTAACCCAAATTAAATCCAAAGGCATACGCTTTTTCACCAAATAACAAAAACACGTTTAGGTGCCCACCTGAATCCGGCCGTCTCATTTTTCCAATTGACACAAGTATTAAATCTGAGTTTTCCGAATGAAATCCCTAAATTCAGGGCAAGATCTCCCCACTCCGCTTCATTCTCTTTGTGATCGCTCAAAATGTGGGCGCATTTTTCGGAGCCCTCTTCACATTTCTCGTTTATTGGGGTACACTAATCTCAAATAATAAAAACTCTTTTTGATCCAGATTTACTCGATAGCTTCGACGGTGAAATTCGTTTCGTCACCGGGCCCCAAGCGAGCGCCCACATTTTCGGTACCTACCCGGCTCCGAAATTGAGCCTTCTCGGTGGCCTATTTGACCAGGTAATCGAACATCACGTAAAAAAGCGAAACCATTTCCAGATTGTCGGAACTGCAGTATTATGCCTACTTATCGCCTGTGTTGTCGATCGGAGAAACAGAATCCCGCCATTCTTGCAACCAACCTTCATCGGGATGATTCTAGTCTTAATTGGAATGGCTCTTGGTAAAAAAAAATAGCTTGTTGATTCAAAAACTGACACAGGTATGAATGCCGGATATGCCATAAATCCGGCAAGAGATTTCGGACCAAGACTTTTCTCTTTAGTTGCTGGTTATGGGTGGAGAGTTTTCAGGTATGACACCGAAAAATTTGAAAGTCTAATAAAGTTTCAGTTACCGCGAATACACTTGGTTCTGGATTCCCTTGGATCGGACCGATGATTGGTGCCGTCATTGGAGCTTGGCTTTACGAGTTCTTTATCGGCTTTCACATTCCCGACGATCCCGACACGACCTACATTCACCGGTTTGGACCAAAAAAAACTGCCTTTCAAAATTATTTTAGCATTATCGATGACAGAAATCCGGACGGGAATCTACGAGAAATCCACCTTGTCGAAACCCGCCCGTACGTCTAAAAATTAACCTCTAAAACTATCATAAGAATTTTGGGGAAAAGGCCGAACGAATCCTTGGAATTCATGTCATAGATGAACATACATCAACAGACAAAAGGTCGATGGGTGTTTAATTTTAAACAAACCTGCTCAAAAGTTTTCAAAATAAAAGCTCTAAACTTTCAGCGCAAGTGAAAGAATCGACACGACTCTTCGACAGACAACCCCTCAGCAGATGCAGGCTAATCCCAAGGAACCCCAACAAACGCTATCTTATCGGAATCTTTGATGAAAACCTCATGTCCCAATCTGAACATAGATCCCACAGCTTCATTTATTACGACCTTTCGCATCATTCAGCTTCTATCTGAAAAATATTAAAAGTCTAATGTTTGAAATGTGTTTACTTTTTTCTTTCAACAGTTGTAGTGCAATTTTTATCCCAATTTAGAACTTTTATTTATTCATACGCTTATTTACAATTTACAGTACCTCAAAAAATTTGTGTGTGCTAATAAAGAGCTACTGAAACACTAATTGATGTAGAGACAATAATAATTGAAAAGTGTATACATAAACCTACACACTACGATCAGATCAATCACTTTAACTCCTCCAAACATCTGCGTGTGGGTTCGATGCCAATATTTGCTGAAACAAATAATTTTAAAGTAGTTTTAATATGAAATCTACCTGACGACGATCTGCAAACATTCTACTATGCCCTTTCATCATCGAAGCTTTATGCGTTCCAGCATTGTCCCAGCAAGTTCCTAAAACAATTCAAATACCGCAAAAGATAATTATCATACAGTATTATTAAAAAAGTTAAGATCTCACCGTAGTAAAAGGCAACAGCAGATGCAGCCCAAAGATATCTTTGTTCCCACCAAAACTTTCGAGCCCAGTAACTAACAGTAAAAGTGCCCATCTGAAAAGTCAAGAATAAGCAAATTCCTCGCTCTCAAATAAAAATGATATATTGGTATGGTGAAATACCAAAAATGGCAAAAATAAGAAAAATCAGAATATTTATTGAACTAAACTAAACCAATTATATACAGATGGTTTCACTTTGTTGTCGTTGTTATTCTTCCAACAAGTGCATCTCCTAACGCCGATTTCCTAAATTTGAGCATTATTTAAAGTCACAAATAGTATAGAGCCAACATGTAGGTCATTTATAAAATCTTAACTAACCCTGCATTCAATTTCCATTCTCTCGTGTGGTTCCAATCCATGAATATGGCTCCAAATGCTAATACCGGCCAGACAAACACCGTGAACCGCTTTCTGAAGACGTACGCAGCTGAAGCCGCCATTATCGCATCTAAATTTGTATTTGACCAATCAATTCGTATAAAATCCACGAAATACAATGCGTAAAAATGAAATCATTTTAGAGAACATAAAACAATGATACCCGAATTACGTTAAAGTTATACATCATAGTTAAACATTAAAACTAGATAGCTTATAAAAAGTAATCCGGTAAGGGCTTTTTGGCGGGAGCTCCACGATTTTCCTGAGGTGCCGCCTCGAAGATCGAAAAATCCTTGTTTCCATTTTCGTCCAATTCAAGTATAGCCGCAACATTCCCACACCGGTAACAATAATTGGGTGCCGACCAAACTGTGAGCACAGTCTCGTTGAAGTGCCATTTGAACCCTTCCATCACCAATTGATGTGCTCGACAGATTAGATCGACATTATTGCTTTCGCAGAACTGTTTTGCCACATCCGAGCCAAAGAGATAACCTGCACCCCGAGGGCTCATTCCCCAACCAATCGTGTCTTCTGGATCCGACCACAAGAGATCGCACATTGCGCCATCGTGTGGGACTTCTTGTTTTCTCTCGATTGCTCGTATTTCATCGAGTGTTTGAATGGATGGTGAGAGACCACCGTGCACACAGAAGATTCGTCCATCGATGACAGCTGACAGTGGAAGGCAATCAAAAACATCGGTACAGCACTTCCACACGGTGGCGTTTCCATATTTGCGAACACACTCATCGTAGAATCCGTAGACTTGCGTAATTTGACGACTCTCGTGATTCCCACGTATCAGCATCATCCGATCCGGATAGCGAACTTTCAAGGCCAACAGCAGGAGAAATGTTTCCACCGAGTAGTGACCGCGATCAACGAAATCCCCAAGGAACAAGTAGTTGGTGTACGGAATCTTGCCGCCGACCCTGAAGAGTTCCATCAAATCGTAGAATTGTCCGTGAATGTCACCGCATATCGTTACTGGTGTATTGATGATTTGCACGTTGCCTTCTTGGATGAGGATTTCCTTGGCTTTCGCGCAGAGTCCTTTGACTTCGGCTTCGGAGATGGTTTCGCATCGCATCAACGTCTCGACTGAAACAAAAAGCGTGAAAAAATGAACCAAAAACAATACTTTGCTTGTCCAAGTCGTTCAGCGAAACTTCGGAGGCGCCGGCGGTTGGGTCACTTTGCGACGCCATCGTATCCATCTTTGGACCTAGACAAGAAACATTGACTTCATTTATAAAAGTGAAAAGGAAGAAAAACACAAGAAACATAGAGTGGTAGCTTATTGTTAGGTACAGGATCTGAAAATGTTATCCATCTGACTGTTTTGAATAGGCGCTATTCAAAAAGTATTAGATAGTAGACTAGCTGTGGCTAAAAAGGCCAAGTAGTAAAAAATATAGCTCTACCTCTCCCAAATAAATGCGGCATTTCAGAAACCAAAGAAGAAATGATAAAAAAGACGGGGATGGCTACCTTGCCCCAAATTTTTTGCGTAACTCGTCATAACGTTCTTCTAAGTGGGCCAATCTTTATGATTTTGGTGTCATTTCGTTGCACTTGTTGAGATCTATAAAATGACACCAAAATCATAAAGATTGGCCCACTTAGAAGAACGTTATGGCGAGTGGTGCAAAAGACCCAACTGCACAAAAAATTTGGTTCAAAGTAGTCACCTCCAAAAAAGGCACTTTTAAGGGGGTATATAGGTGAGCATTTAGCAAAACAACTGAATATCTTGTCAACTATTATAGTTTTACTATAAAACGAAGATACAAATACGAAATTAACCTTCTGCTCATTTTAGGACTTTCTCCCACTTGCGGGGGAGCGCTTTGCGAAATCGGGGTGCACACTTTTGAAATGTAACTGTGCTGTGTTTCGTTGCCCCGAGTGAAAAACCACCCATTGGCAGGTAGAAAGGAGCTTCACCGATGAGAAAACTTAAATCTCTGTTATTTCGCGTTTTTTTTACCTTCTCTGCCACTCCTTTCACTTTCGTTCACATGTTTTTATCTCTTCAAAGTGTATAATTATTTTCTTCATTTAGATGGGCGACGATATCGACACCTCCGGCATTTTGCCGCCGTTTCGTGGCACGAAGAAAGTCGAAGTACTCGATGCATCCGATCCGACAATGCTTACGATTGTGCTACACGAGGAGGATCATGTATGGGATGCCTTTAATTTTTTTAACATATGTTTACGTATATATTTGATGTTACTCTTTTTAAAATATGTTTAGAACTCTTATGTTAGGTTATTGAACAGATGGTTCTTCTTTAGTATGGGGGGGATAACGATTTTGCCAACCTAGTGTCACTGATTTATTTATCTTCAACTGGTCCAATTTTGAATTTAAAGCATTATTAGATAGTTTAGGCTTTGTAGATTCTAATAGTTGTTGTTTTTCAAAATCTATCACAAAAAGTGTTTAAATTGTGGGTTGAAGTTTGTGGGAACCGCCCCGAATACTAAAGAAGTACTGAGCAGATGAATTGATAAATTCTGGTAAAATCTCTCGTAATTTCACAAACAAAAAACAAAGCACAAACAATGAATGCTCTTTATTTTATTTTATTTTAGACGATCGGCAACTCACTCAAACACATCCTATGCCAGATGCCCGATGTCGAATTTTGTGGATACAATGTGCCGCACCCGCTCGAGAACAAGATCTTGTTGCGGCTACAAACGAGAAATGGTCAACCGGCGGGGAAAATCCTTTCTGAAGCATTTCAACACTTGGAGACTCTATTCAAGCACATTGGGTCGACTTTCGAAGAAGCTTACGCCAACAGCTTATGATACTTTATGCCTAGATAATTTTTTGACTTCAAACGTTGTTGATTTGTTTTCGTTGTTATTTCTGAATTGTTTTGATGTGATCTCTTTTTAAACAAGAATTTTAGGTTGTGATGGCCTTCACCTTCGCAGCACTTTGCTACCTCATCGCTTTGATAGCAGTTGCTTTTTGTATATTTTTTGCTATCTATACGGTAAACTTATTTTTGCGCCTTGGTTTACGTCAAATTCAGGTGATATGCATCGATGAGTTGAAAACGGACTACAAGAATCCAATAGAGCAGTGCCGCAGCTTGAACCAGGTAACAATGGTTTTATTTTTGCAATTATGTTCTAAAGCGCTTGTTGATTATTTTGATGTCTGTATTTAGCTCATCCTTCCCGAGTACATCGTTCATGGCATCTTCACCGTGCTTTTTCTCCTCTCCTGGCAGCTCTTCTCTATTCTCATCAACTCACCACTAGTTGCCTATCATGTTATGTCGTAAGTTTGTCAATTTCTTCAAGTTTTTTTTGTTTAAAGTAATTATAAGACCATTTTTAAATGTTAAATCTGAGAGACCATTTTAAAAGTTTGAATCATCGACATTTTATTTTTTTAGGTACATGCGCCGTCCCGTGATGAGTGGCCCCGGCATCTACGATCCAACTCGTATTCTCAACCGTCTCGAGTTGTCTCATCACATGCGAGTCGCTTGGATTAAGCTGGCCTTTTACCTCATCTCGTTTTTCTACTATCTCTACGCGTGAGTCACATCTCTACTATCGCACATGAGATTTATCTTTCCACAAAAAACAGTCATTAGAATTATGGGTGTGAAGACGGAATTTCAATTTTTTTAAGGCTTTTAGCCGTTTACTATTAATCATGGCGAAGTTATATCCTAAACTAACTTTTTAAAATGTTATAAAAGTCACAGTCACACAGTCTATGGAAATTCACAAAATAATTTATCTTCTAGCCTGTATGTCGGAATTAATCCTTTCGATTCTTCACGATTATTTAATTTTTCAGATTGATCTACACGCTCGTCACTGCGTCGTCGTAAACAAAGCATCGCTCAAAAAACGCCAAATTACTGTGATGTTTTACTACTTTAGTGGGTACTGACGAAGGCAATATCCCAATTCATGAGCGAAAATTTTACGGCCTGCATAGATGCTTTCCAGTTCTCTTTGTTGACTCATTTTTCTGTTGTTTACTTTCCAATTAAAGCACCGGCAGTTTTGATATAGAAATTCTTGTTTAAGTCTAGATTGCCTAGTAGCCGAATTAGATTTTCGTAAATTTTATGTACCCGGTTTTGTAAGTGTTTTGTTCATTTACTGCTCATATCGCGATCTGGTTTGTCTTTAATGCAAGTAAATTTCTTGTTGCATTTCAGAAAAAGCAATTTCATTTAAAAAACCTTTTAGACAGCTTAAGAATTTCGCACATTTTTATCAGCTGAGAGAAACAAACGGAAAAGAGATCTAATTCACCCGATAACGAAGGACACGACGAATAGTAGAACTTTGATAGTGGCTGGTTCAATTGAAACATTCATGCAATTCCTGAAATGGATGACTTAAATACTATTCGAGAAGTGACTGGCCCATTTAAATCGGCGAGCCGGACTATTGGAGCACCTTTACGACCGCTTGCAAAGAAAATCGGCTGGAATGGAGTATTATTTTTGCTAGGTTTGAACTTTTCGATCAATTTTCAAAGCTTTAACTTTCAATTTAGTTTTAATTATTGGTTGCCATTGTTGGTTGGTCTTGTCGCTGATATTGGGCCACAAATTCACGCGTTCAATTTTTCTGATTGTTTGCATTTCTCTCTTTTGGGTGTATCTCCTATTTCATTTTTATGGTCACTTTTTGCCGAAAGATCCCTATCAGTAAGATTGTGATTGTGAAGTGAAATCAGAAAAAAAAATTCTAGACGAGTTGCACGAAAACTCGGCCGGTACACGTGGCTCCCATACTTGGCGACTCTTTTGGCGCTGGCCGCGATTACGGCTTTCGTTTTGACGCAGGTGATTTAAGATTTCTGATAGTTTCATTTGAAAATTCGAATAGCCGCCCGATTTCTGAGGGTTTTTATTTCTGTAAACCCTTTTCAGTCAATCCATTCCCGACCTCGACTCCAATCGTTTGGCTCTTTGATTCTAATCCTTCTCTTTTCGGTTTTGATTTCCGATAATCCTGGACGAGTAAGTGAAATGATTAGAGAAAATCGCTGAGAATGAATTCAACAATTGATTTTCTTGCAGATAAAATGGCGTCCAGTCATTTGTGGACTCGTTCTTCAGTATTTGGTGGCGTTATTGATTCTGAAATGGGATGCGGGAAGGGGTGAGGTTTTCGATAAATGGATATTGTAGACTAGAGATCGCGAACACCGTAAAAAAAACTGTAGATTGCAGAAGATTTTTGCTTTATTTGCTTTATTTTAGCCCAAAATTTGTCATTTTTCAGATGGTTTCCGCTTTTTGATCGATCAAATCGTTTTCTTTCTTGGGTACACGAGTGCTGGCACTGATTTCGTCTTCGGCTTCATTCCATCACCACCGAATTTCTGCGGAATGGACGGCCCATTTTCGTTTACGGTAAACACTAAGCCAACAAAAAGAACTTTTAAGATTGTAAGGCTGTAAAATGTAAAGTTTACTACACTTTACCACACGCAACATCATCACACAATTTCCAGTCTCTCCCAATTTTGATTTTCTTCTCGGCAATCTGCTCAGCGGCCTATTATGCGGGCTTTGTGCAATGGGTTTGCAAGTGAGCGAAAAATATTCAGTAACTTTAAGATTTATAAACCTTTTAAAAACACGGATAAGTATCATCAAATTCTAGAAAAACAGCTGTCCTCTTGCAATGGACAATGGGAACGACAAGCGCCGAATCGCTGAACGCAATGGGTAGTGTGTTCATCGGGCCGGTGAGTGAGCGAAAAATCAAGTCTAGTGTTGTTGTTGGGATTGTTGGGATTACCATTGTTGGGATTACCCAGTGGGTAATTGTTGTAGTCAAGTTGAGTCAACTAGTCGAGTTGGATCAACTAGTCGAGTGTTGAATCAACTAGTCGAGTGTTGGATCAACTAGTCGAGTGGAATCAACTAGTCGAGTTGAATCAACTAGTCGAGTTGGATCAACTAGTCGAGTTGATTTATCACAATCTCATAATCAGATTTCTACGAGAAAATCGAGCTGACAAGTCGAAAGAACAAAGCAAAAATCCATCAAAAATTATAAAAATACTCTATAGATATAAAAAAAATACTCTAAGAATCTTTTTTTTCAGACAGACGGTTCCCTTTTGATGCAATTCGCTCTCCCCACAATGACCTACAGTGAGATTGTGGCCGCGCTCGCTGTTGGTAAGTGTTGAATAAACTAACTTAAAATACTTGAAAGCTTGTATACCAAGCCTTTCATTAGCATTACTTGCATGAATTTTTAGAACCTGGAAAGGATTTCCTGATATCCGAAAAAAATGATTGAAAAGTGGCAAAAAAGAGCCGATTTCTCATCATTTTTCAATCATTTTGTTCCAAGCTCTGGTTAATGCGAAAAATATGTATTATATCTCAAAAAAAGTCACCCATCCTCTCTACTTTAATTTGATACGCAAGCGCGCAGAAACAAATGCCTGAGCGCCGAGATATGAGCGGTTCTTTGAGCGTAAACTTACGAGGTGCATCATAATTACCGTATTCTCTCTAATAGTAGTGCACCCCGTCGAGCCGAGTTGGTGACTATTCTATGGTTCCCAAGCTTTCGCAGAAGCTCAACACTCAAATCCCCCACAAGATCTCATCGTTAGCTACATTTTCCGACCCCACATCGATAGGTTCTGATAAGCGGTTTTCGAGGTTTCGAGGAATTTAGGCAAAGCTTTGGGTGCACTACTATTAGAGAGAATACGGTATATGCTACGTCCGATTTTGAAACCATTCAAATTGAACGTCCGTTTTTGAAATCCTTTATCTCCGAAAAAGCTCATTTCAGCCATTTAAACCAAAAATTTTCAAAAAAAGCAAAAAGAGCTAGGTTCCACCGAGATTCGAACTCGGGTCGCAGGATTCAAAGTCCTGAGTGCTAACCGCTACACCATGGAACCACGAGGTAGCGCGACTTTCTAGAGTCTTTTGAGGGGTTTTGTCAACTTCTCTTCTTTAGTTTACACATGACATTGTGCGTTTATCTAACTGATCTAACGGTGCCCATTATCTAACTGATCGGAGCACACAAATTTCTAAAACAAGCTCTCAAAGTTGAGAGTCGCACTTAGCCTAGTTAGAATAGTTTTGGAGTTTTTGAAAAACGAGCTGCTTACTTTGTTTACTGCTTACTGAGAAGAGCTAGGTTTTTGTTAGTTTTCAATTAATAATGTTCAGATATGAATTCCAAAAGCTAAAAATTTCCAAAAGATTGGTCAGTTCGCTCTTCTTTTTCAGCATCTCTCGGCCTGGATTTACATGACGATTTACATAAATAAACAGGGGTTTTGTTAATTTTGTGTGAGATTTTTCTCGTAAATGATCACTGGACGTTGAAAGACATCTTTCTGATAAATTTGATGCAGAAATTTCCCAATCGGCTTTCAATGTCACTTCAAAAAACTAGAAAACTAGGTCGAGTACCTGGCTAACCAGGGAACCTTCCCAAGTTACCCGCGAGTTACATTATGAGGTAGGTGCCAAAAGAAAGGCCTGAAAATGTACGTTCAGAAACTGTTTTCAAAAATCGCTAATCGGCAAAACGCACGAAGTTACAGCCATTTGAATTTCGAAAAAATGAAGGCTTTTCTCGAATTTCTGGCACACCGATTTTTGCCGGCGGATCCGAACCAAGGTCAAAGGGTTCCAAGCGCAAGCACACGAACCACTAGGCTACGAGCTGACTTTTGGCATGGCGAAAGGAAAGCCTTTCTGCCGGCAAAAATCAGTGTGCCAGAAATTCGAGAAAAGCCTTCATTTTTTCGAAATTCAAATGGCTGTAACTTTGTGCGTTTTGCCGATTAGCGATTTTTGAAAACAGTTTCTGAACGTACATTTTCAGGCCTTTCTTTTGGCACCTACCTCATAATGTAACTCGCGGGTAACTTGGGAAGGTTCCCTGGTAAGTGCAACTCGCAACTTTGCGAGCTTGTTTTAAAAATTTCTGAGCTTCTATCGGTTACGTATTTACGGTAAACTAAACTAGAGCTTGTTTCAGGTTACTCAATGTTGGATGGATCACTTTTTGCTCTTTACATAGCTTTTGGTGCTTGTCCGACCCTTCTCCTCTCCGCCAATGTGATGAGCGCTCCCGCTGTGTGAGTCATTGAAAATAGGAAGCTACAGCTTTCTACCTAGTTACCCAGCTATCTAGTTTGACTTAATCTAGTTATCCAGCTAGTTGGATAACTAGATTAAGTCAAATTATTGGATATTTTTAAGGCTTTAGCAGATCCTAGATGGTTTGGTGGTATCAAATGCACAGTACTTACAGTACTTATTTGTAAGTGTATTTACCAACTCCAAATAGATCTGGGACTTGATTGGCACGAGTTGCTTATTAAAGTTATTACTAGAAAGAGTTATATCTTGAATTTATCATTGATTTATCATTCACTTTCAATTTTTCCAGACTCACGATCTCGAAAATCCTCAGCCCCGAGGTGCAAAAGAGTAAACAAGCCGACATGGAGACGTTCGAGTTTCCACCAACGTGAGAGTTTTTGAGTGCTTTAAACAAACGAAGATCAAGCTGACAATAAGATTTTCTATCTATCTAAGATTCTACCTAATCTAATATCTATCCAAGATTCTATCTAATCCTTAATCCTAGTGAGGCGCAATCCCTTCTTGACGCAATTTGTAAGGGAGCCGTCTCCGCAATGGGCGTCATCTTTGCCATCATCGCCAACTTGATCGTTTTTCTCGCCTTGCTGGCTTTTCTTGATAAGTTGGTAACTATATTGTCTCAAAATACATTTATCTATAGAGTTTAACTTTTATTATTAGATATTTACTAAAAAGAATCATGATTCGATTTCCTTTCAGAGTAATCGGTTTCGTTTGCGATTGTGTCGGCTACGAGGACGTCACTTTCAATGTGAGTTCGTAAAATTGCGAGTAAAAAGAATTGCGAGTTTCAAAGTTGTTTAAAAAATTTGAATAAATAAATAAATAAAAATTTAAATAAATTTAAAATGAGAGAAAAAATTGTCAAGAATAATGAACAAAATTTTGTTTTAAAAAGCGATCAGTTTAAACGTGTTTCAAAATGAGCAAAGGAAAATTTGAGTTTCGTTTGCTCATTTCCGTCTTCTCAAATAAAACAATTTTTGGTACTTTCCCATTAAACCACCACAGCATCAATCCCATTATACTCCCACAGCATCAATCCCATTATACCCCCACAGCATCATTCCTGTTATACCCCCACAGCATCAATCACATTATACCCCCACAGCATCAATCACATTATACCCCCACAGCATCAATCCCATTATACCCCCACAGCATCATTCCTGTTATACCCCCACAGCATCAATCACATTATACCCCCACAGCATCAATCCCATTATACCCCCACAGCATCAATCCCATTAAACCACCACAGCATCAATCCCATTATACTCCCACAGCATCAATCCCATTATACCCCCACAGCATCATTCCTGTTATACCCCCACAGCATCAATCACATTATACCCCCACAGCATCAATCCCATTATACCCCCACAGCATCAATCCCATTAAACCACCACAGCATCAATCCCATTATACCCCCACAGATGGCAGCTTTTAAAAAAGCTTTTCTAACTTTTTAAAGCTTTAAATAAGCTTTAAAAAAGCTAACCCACAATTCATATTGGCTGTGGTGGGTAAAGAAAACATTAAACTCGGCGGCGGTAGAAAATGAGAATAGAAAAATATTTGTTTCTTCTTTGCGAAAAACAGCATTCGGATAAATGCAAATTTTTGGCATGCTAGTTTTTTAAATGTGGGGGTATAACGGGATTGATGCTGTGGGGGTATAACGGGATTGATGCGTGTGGGGGTATAACGGGATTGATGCGTGTGGGGTATAATGGGAATGATGCTGTGGGGGTATACCGGGAGAGTACCCAATTTTTGTATTTTCAGTATTTTCAAACAGTATTTTTCTGTTTTTCAGATCTTTTATTATCATTTCTTATCATTCAGAAAGTCCTTGGCTGGGCCTTTTTCCCGTTGGCCTACGTGATGGGCGTTTCAGATGCGGACACGTGGGAAGCGCAGAAAAATGAGATTTTAAAGGTATAGAAGTTTGTCAAATTATTCTCAAAAAGCTTTGGAAATCAAGTGCACACAAAAACTCCGCAGGTAGCTCAATTGATTGGCACAAAAACGGCGCTAAACGAGTTCATCGCCTATCAACAAATGCAGGGAATGCTGCTGAATGGAGAGATTGGAGTGAGTGAAAAAAATTAGCTCAAACGAAAACGTTTTTCGTTTTATTCATCGACTTCTGCTCGAATTGTAATTAAGAAACTTAAGAAAAAAAGAAAAAAGAGATAGGGAACCAAATTTAGAGAGATAGGGCACCAACAATAATTCGACCATTAGCTGGGCATTTTGAAACATAGCTTTTACGCTAAAACCAACGCTTTTGTGGATGTTTACCTATGCTTATATTAAAGTTTTACTAAAAAAGACTTGCTTTATTTCTTTAAAAAAGTGAATTTTTTGAAGGTATTGCAAAAAAAAATGACGGGGTAGGCTAGTTTCCGCAACTTTTTTTTCTCAACTCGCCATAACTTTCTTCTAAATGGGCCAATCTTTATGATTTTGGTGTCATTTTGTTGCACTTGTTGAGATCTATAAAATGACACCAAAATCATAAAGATTGACCCACTTAGAAGAAAGTTATGGTGAGTTGCGCAAACGACCAGTTGCGTAACCCAGTTGCGCAAAAAAAGTTGCTGAAACTAGCCTGCCCCATCTTTTGCAATAATTTTCGCCAAAAGTACGGGAATTTTTGCCAAGTGTGCGTTTTAAAAAATGTATTACTCGCGAGGAACACACTCTATTTTTAAGCGAACATACACAACCAAAGTTTAAACATTCCAAAATTCTCAACAATTTTTAGTCCCGCGCCCAATTGATGGCGATTTATTGTCTTTGTGGCTACTCGAATCCTTCACAAATCGGGACACAACTCGGCATTTACGGAGCGATGTGTCCAAAGAGGAAAAAGGTGAGAAAAATTTGAGATTTTGTGTCTTATGTTGGCTTTTCTTGGCTTCTCTTGGTTTGTCTTGGCTTTTCTTGGTTTGTCTTGATTTGTCTTGGCTTGTCTTGGCTTGTCTTGACTTTCCTTGGCTTGTCTTGGCTTTTCTTGGTTTGTCTTGATTTGTCTTGGCTTGTCTTGGCTTGTCTTGGCTTTTCTTGGCCTTTCTTGGCTTCTCTTGGTTTCTCTTGGCTTGTCTTGGCTTTTCTTGGCTTGTCTTGGCTTTTCTTGGCTTTTCTTGGTTTGTCTTGATTTGTCTTGGCTTGTCTTGGCTTGTCTTGACTTTCCTTGGCTTGTCTTGGCTTTTCTTGGCTTGTCTTGGCTTTTCTTGGCCTTTCTTGGCTTTTCTTGGCTTCTCTTGGTTTCTCTTGGCTTGTCTTGGCTTTTCTTGGCTTTTCTTGGCTTGGCTTGACTAATGACACTGAAAAATTCGTAATTTCTCAACTTAAACTACTGAAAGCAGTATAAATTAAGTTCTTTTCTAACTGTTTCTTAATAAAGAATAGTTTCTAAACTTTGCAAAAAGGTTATCTTTTTGATTACTTTAAAAGCATGAACTACTAGTAGAAAACTTCAGTTTTAGTTGCTAATGTTGAAACAAATTTATTTTTATGACAAAGAAATTTGTTTTTCACTTATCGTAAAGCTCGTCTTTTTCCAACCTATTGGGTTGGTGAATTGAAAACTGCGGGACTTTGAACTAAAATTTATTCAACATAAAACCATGGATTCATTCCAGATAATTTCCATTATTATTCACGACTTCTGCCCATTTTACAGGCGATTTGCGGATTCCTCTTTCGTAGTAGGATTTTGGTTTGTGTGTGAGACAAGTGTGAGACTCAAAAATGGAGGACTGGAGATGTCCCAGTTTGAGCACTTTCTTCAAAAGAAACCCATTTTGGTGTCAATAGAAAAGTTGTAGAGAATCAAAAATTAGACTTATAGCCAAATTTCCAAAAAGATACACTTGGTAGTTTCGCTTAAAATGCAAGTTTTGTGAAAATTCGTAAATTTGGCATTTCTTGAAAACCAGTTTTTGAATCGTTCTGAAAATTTGGATATAAGCTTGATTTTTGATTCTCTACAACTTTTCCATTGACACCAAAATGGGTTTCTTTTGAAGAAAGTGCTCAAACCGTCACATATGACAATAGCCCGCAGTTTTCAATTCACCAACCCAATATTTATTTTAAATTATTTTATGTTTTGCCAATTATTTAATGCCCACTATTCTCCGCCTTGATAACTTTGAAAGCTATATTTTTTCCAGGATTTTGTGACAGCCGCCCCAAAAGGACTCCTCATCGGATCGCTGGCTTGCTTTATGACGGCTTGTGTTGCAGGTAGAATAAAGATGGGCACTATAAACTATAAAAATGATGAACTGTCACATTACAAACGTTTCTAACTTGCTTGAAATCTACCGGATTGTCATGGTCTATAGCTCAAAAAATCGAGAATTTCAAAAGCTTTCAAATAGACGAAAGCACACCCAAAAATCTTAATGCTAAAGAAAGTTACAGTGATCAGAATTAAAACGGACTGTATTTGCGCGTAGTCGAAGCAGAGACAAGACTACAAACCACTGTAACTTTCTTTAGCATTAGTATTTTTATTTGTGCTTTAATCCATTTGAAAGCTCTTGAAATTCTCGATTTTTTGAGCTATAGATCAAGTAAATCCGGTAGATTTCAAGCAAGTTAGAAGCGTTCGTAGTTTACGTTTGTAGTTTACGTTCGTAGTTTACGCTTGTAGTTTTTAGTCTAAGGTAGAAACAAAGTACATATAAAATCAAAAAAAAACACATAGAATATCCATTTCAAAAAGGCTCAATACATTTCTAGGCTCAATAATCACCACCGATATGGGCTGTCGACCGACGACGAACCCGCTGTGTTTCGATGTTTCAAATGGAACAAATCCCGAATGGATTTCGGCGCTTTAATGCGATCTGCCTATGTAAAATACAAGAAATTCAATAAAAACTGTATCATAGTCAGATTTTACAAACACATCGCCAAAAGAACTCAATCAAGAACAATCAGCTTCTCTTAATCATTTTTGAAATAAACCGAATTTGATTCAAGATTCAAGAATTTCAGGGCATTGGTCGAATGATTGGATTGATCATTGGTGAATTCATTGGTGCGCCTGGAATTTGTCGAATATAGTGGATTTGAAAAAGTTTCGAGCTTTATTGTAGTTAGAAAACTGACCCATCGCATTTGGAGCGATCGGATTTTGAGTGGGATTTGGGCCGAGAAGCATCTGGCACTCGATTGAAAGGATCGGATTGGAGGCTGTGTTGTGACCGGACTGGAAAGAGGATTTTTTCTCGAGAACCAAAAGAGTTCCCAGTTTTTTTGGTTAGATATTTCAAATCTACGGACATTTTTTTCACTAGATTCAGGAGTTTTTCAAAAAAATACCGTATTTTCTCTAATAGTAGTGCACCCCCGCGAGCCGAGTTGGTGACTATTTTACGGTTTCCAAGCTTTTGCAGAAGCTCAACACTCAAACCCCCCAGCAAGATCTCATCGTTAGCTACATTTTCCGACCTCACATCGATAGGTTCTGATAAGCGGTTCTCGAGGTTTCGAGCAATTTAGGCAACGCTTAGGGTGCACTGTCTCTCATTTTGTCTTATGAAATTTGTGTCGAGATCTTTTGTTCAAGATACTTCCACAATTTTCCACAAGATACTTGATAAAAGTGTTTCCTTTTTCTCGTGGGGCCAACACATTATTTCTTGGAGCTTTGTTGAAACCCTTTCAAATTCAAATTACATACTTTTCACACGCGTATTCAATAAAATTAGTTTTGTTACCGTATTTTCTCTAATAGCCGGTGAGCCGAGTTGGTTCCTATTTTACGGTTTCCAAAGTTTTCGCAGAAGCTCAACACTCAAATCCCCCAGCAAGATCTCATCGTCAGCTACATTTTCCGATCCCACATCGATAGGTTCTGATAAGCGGTTCTCGAGATTTCAAGGAATTTAAGCGAAGCTTTGGGTACACTACTATTAGAGAAAATACGGTAAACAGTACCGTATTTTCTCTAATAGTAGTGCACCCCGACGAGCCGAGTTGATGCCTATTTTGCGGTTTCCAAGCTTTTGCAGAAGCTCAACACTCAAATCCCCCACTAGATCTCATCGTCAGCTACATTTTCCGACCCCACATCAATAGGTTCTAATAAGCGGTTCTCGAGGTTTCGAGCAATTTAGGCAACGCTTAGGGTGCACTACTATTAGAGAAAATACGGTATCTGTTTTGTTTTTGTAAAAAACCTGAGCCAATTGCGCGTAGATTGTTTCGTAGAGTGTTCGGGTTCTCGCCAAAACGAGTACATTTTCGCATTTTGGAAAAGAATCCGTCTAAAAGTTGGAATGAATCTGATTTTGAAACTTGAAATTAACTCAAGTAACTAAATGAATCAGCTAGTTTGAGAATTGAAATAGATTTTTCCTAATTTCTGTGCTTTGTGAGAGTGTTTTGGCAAGTAATATTACTAGATTTTGACATATTAAGTTGGAAAGAAAGTTCTCGAAAAAAGTTTGACTGGAATTTGTTCAAAGCGAGTCCACCAATTCAAGAATATTTTCTTCTATTATTTACAAGTCGACTTTACAAGAAATTACTTGTAAAAAATGAATGCAGCTTTCCCATAAAAATTTTAGAGATTTTTGAAGAAAAGTATTATTTTCCAGTTTAAATTTAGCTCACTTTTTGCATTAGAAACCAGAAAAACGATTCCTTATGAGGTAAAGCTAGTATAAATGAGCAACACGCTCTAATAGCAACACGCTCTACTAGCAATACGCTCTACTAGCAATACGCTCTACTAGCAATATGCTCTAATAGCAATATGCTCTAATAGCAATATGCTCTAATAGCAACACGCTCTACTAGCAACACGCTCTACTAGCAACACGCTCTACTAGCAACACGCTCTCTACCCCATAATCACTATAATCTCTATTTTACAAAGAAGCCGTATTTCAAAAAAATAATTTTTTTATGTCATCTTCTCGGCACTGATTGTTTGCTAAAATAGCATTTTCTGCATCTAAAATTCTGAAAAGTTAAAACATTAAATTAAATTTACCTTAATCACAAATTTTCCTTATTTTAAGTACTTGATTTTAGGTTTTGAATGAGACCCATTGCCTATCCATTAACCAATTAAAAACTTGTCTAAAGGCTGGTCACTCAAAAAGTGACCAAGCTGAAGGACTTCTAGCTGAAGAAATCTCTTATTTTTTAAATGAGACTCACTCCGATTTTTTTTGTCAAAAACTTTTTGAAATATAGTCAAGTTTATCAAAAATCTGGGAAGAATTCATGGTTTTTGAGAAATCACTGTGCAAACTTTTTCCTAGAACTTTCTTTCCAACCTAATAGCATTTACTCAGAGTGCTAATTTGCTAATTGCACCACAAATGCGTCTAGACTCCAATTGAAAGACCACTCCACGACTTTTTCTTTTTCCTAGAACTTTCTTTCCAACCTATTGGGTTGGTGAATTGAAAACTCCGGGACTTTGAACTAAAATTTATTCAACATAAAACCATCAATTCATTCCAAATAATTTCCATTATTATTGACGACTTCTGTCCATTTTACAAAGAAATTTGCGGATTCCTCTTTCGTAGTAGGATTTTGGTTTGTGTGTGAGACGAGTGTGAGACTCAAAAATGGAGGACTGGAGATGTCCCAGTTTGAGCATTTCAGCACTTTCTTCAAAAGAAACCCATTTTGGTGTCAATGGAAAAGTTGTAGAGAATCAAAAATTAGGCTTATAGCCAAATTTCCAAAAAGATACATTTAGTAGTTTCGCTTAAAATGAAAGTTTTGTGAAAATTCGTAAATTTGACATTTCTTGAAAACCAGTTTTTGAATCGTTCTGAAAATTTGGATATAAGCTTGATTTTTGATTCTCTACAACTTTTCCATTGACACCAAAATGGGTTTCTTTTGAAGAAAGTGCTCAAACTGTGACATCTGATAATAGCCCGCAGTTTTCAATTCACCAATCCAATAGTTTCATTAGTTACTCAGAGTGCTAATTTGCTAATTGCACCACAAATGCGTCTAGACTCCAATTGAAAGATCACTCCACGACTTTTTCTTTTTCCTAGAACTTTCTTTCCAACTTAATATATCCGACTTAAACTCAACAATAGTTTTAACAATTCCTACGTTGGTAAACCATGTTTTTATCATGCTTTTGAAAGTTTTTGATGTAATTTTGGGATGATAAAACTAAAAATTAGTATACTTCAAATTCAAAAATGCCGTATTTATTAGTTTTAAACCTTTCTCCAAGATCAAAACCAAATATCAACCAAATTCAAACCAAATCTCTCAAAAAGCCGTGTGTTCGGAAATTCTTCCGATAAAGTCTAATTTCTTTTAAAATCTATTTTTCTTTTAAAAGTCTATCGACCAATATTTCCCTCCTTTGATCCTCCTTTATCCTCTAAAAGCTTTCCGCGATTTCCCCAGACAAAAACATAGACCTTTCAAAACATTTAGCACTTATCTTTTCGGTATATAAACCCTCCGTGCTTCAATAAATTCTTCTACCTTGAACCAAGGAATATTGGATACAATCTATATTCAACATTTTGGTGCGCAGTCCGGGAAACGAGTCCGGTCAGTCATTTTGTCATTTTTGTCATTTTTTGTCATTTGTCAACGCAGTCAATTTTTTTTTTGATGCTCACCACCACCTTCAACGATCGACAGTAAAAAAAAAAATGACTGCCGTAATGAAGGCAAGGGTCACCAGAGCCGTCACAAAAATCAACGGGATTCTCGAACGAGTCAAAAACAGTGACGAATCACTCGAAGGCGATCTCTTGTCAAACGACCTTGACAGAATCAACAAAGCCGTAAACTCGATCGAGACATTCCTTGGCGAAATCGTGTCAGCCCAAAAGGAGATGGATGTGGCCCAGAAACTATGGTTAGGCTACATCGCATCACTTGGCGAAGAAGCACGGGAAAAAGAGGCGGAAGCAATGGAACGACATCTGGATTCAAGTGACGGAGCCAATGAAGCGCTGGAGGCAGCTTCAAAGCACGCGGTGCTATTGGAACGTCTCAAGGATCGTGCCCACCAAGCACTCCGAGAGCTCTCACCAATCATCACCACTCCCTCACCCACAAGAACTACCCCTCCTCTCTACGCTGCTCCAAATCCATCTGTTCCACAGCCTTTTCTTCTCCCCAAAATTCCGCTACCAAGATTTGATGGGGATGAAAGCAAGTTCCGACTGTTCACACAAGCCTTCGACCAAACAATCGATTCACAGCATTGGCCAAAGGTTGTCAAGCTCGCATACATGTTCGATTCACTCGATGGACGGGCCAAGCAAGCAATCGCTGGTTTCGAACTTTCCGAAGAAAACTACGACCTCGTCAGAACTCGATTAAAAGAACGATTCGGCAACGAACAGTCACTCAGAAACAAGATTTTCTCGCAAATCTTGTCACTCCAACCCTACGGCGAATCATACAGCGAAACTGTGGAATTGGTTGATGAAATTGAAGCTCTACTCCAACAAGCGGAGACATTGAAAATGGACGTCGAAGCCGAAGCCATTCGACTGGCAATCGAAAGAGCCCTTCCTAGATGGGTCGAGTCCAGCGTCTTCCAAATGAAATTATCGTCTCCCGTATGGAAACTCGGCGACCTCAGGCAAGCCTTGGCAAGAATCGTGAAATCTGGTGCCGAGCGACAGCATCACTGCAAACGACACGAAAGAGCCACAACAATGGTCACCACCTACTCAAAGAAAACCCGTCCACTTGAGAAAGGACAAAACGAGTTCCACAGAAAGCCCAACCTACCCAATACAAGCGAAACGCAAACAAGAACCAAGAAAGCTCCACGGAAAGCATGCGCCTACTGCTCGGAAATGCACGCATCACTGGAGTGCAGGAAATTTGCAAACCCAGAAGCAAGGAAACGCCATCTCCAAGCAACCCAAAAATGCTTCAACTGTCTCCAAGAAGGACACAACGTGGCGAAATGTCCAAGCAAATGGACATGTCGAAAGTGCAAGAAGAAACACCACTCTTCAATCTGCAACCTCCCCAATCCATCGACAGAAAGGAACACCGCTGCAGCAACCATCGATGATGCGCCAACGGCCCTTGCTTGCAAGGCCCCAGAGGGTGTTCTCCTAATGACCATCCAAGCGATCGTGAGAAATCCAAAGAACAACAAAAGAGTCAAAACGTCTATCTTCTTCGATTGTGGCAGCGACTTCAGCTACGTATCCTTCGACCTTCTCGAACTCCTAGGAATCGAAAAAGCTGCTCATCAATCCATGGATGTCACGACCTTTGGTGGCCAAACAAAGAAACTACCGTTCCAAGCTGCAAACGTCGAACTCGAATTACTTGATGGAAGCACCTTCCCTTTGGCTGCTCGAGGCATTTCGCAGATCACAGCAAAATTGCGATCAATTGCCATCTCCAACATCAAACCAGAAAAACTTTGTGGACACATACAGACCGAGAAAAGACAACCACATGTACTACTCGGCATCGACGACTTCTGGAACCTCGTTATCAACAAACGAAAAGAAAAAATTGCCAACCTCCACATCATCGACACAAAACTGGGCGTCGTCTTGTCTGGAGGGGACAATCCACTCAAACGCAACAACTACGGCGTCACCGCTGAAGAGGAAAACATCGAAGAAGGAGCTATATGTGCCAACGGAATATCTATCATCGATGAAGACAGCGTGATGCAAGAAGAAGTCGCAAAATGGTTGAGCCTCGACAACATTGGCATCGAAGACCAAAGAGACACCAAAAACGATGACCAAGAGACATACGAAAAGTTCAAACAATCGACAAAGTTCGTGAACAACAGGTTCCTCATCTCGATTCCAATCGACGAAAACGTCCAACTGGATTCAAACGAAGGACTGGCAATCCAACAATTGATCGCTTGGACAAAGAATGCCTCGAAGAGTCCCGAAACAATCCCCAAAACCAAAGAGGGATTCGAACTCTGGAAAAAAGACGGAATCATTGAACAAATTCCCGACGAAGAAATCCAGAACCCTCCAGGAGGAAAGTGTGTCTACAACCCATTCCATGTGGTAACTAAGAAGTTCCGCATTGTGCACAACGGGTCTGCAGCACGCAAAGGCCGAACATCTCTGAACTCCCACATTCACAGAGGACCAGTCATGCACATGGATTTGGTGCAATTTCTGTTGATGTTCAGAACGGCTCCCTACGTTGCCATGGGTGACATAAAGCAAGCTTTCCTCCAACTGGGACTCAATACCTACGACAAGGACCTCTTGAGATTCCTGGTTCCCAAAGATTGGAAGAAACCAATAACGAA